ACAGGATTCAAAAACAGCCTGTGGTCCTGGCTAGGGCCTCAGACAAAACTAGAGGCATTCCCAAAAGTAGCATCTCCATGCTTAGAAGGCCTGTCCAGTCAAAGAAAGCTTCTTGAAATAAAGATGTTTTCAGCAGGTTCCAGAAAAAGGCAGAGCAATGGAGTTTGCCTGACCTCTAAAGGTTCCATGGACAGGGAACTACCACACTGGAGCCTCTCCTTTGGGTGAACTCTGGCCGGCCCCCATGAAGAATTACCAGTAGTGAAGACCAGCTCCTGTTTACAGCCATCTTTTGGCAGACACAATGGAAAATTATAGCAGCCTAACAAAAGCACTGCTTTTAGGAATATTCAAGGATTTGTGCAAACCCAATGGTTCTTTCAGATCTTGGAACAGGAAGTCCACCCATTCTTGGGGAACTCTTGTGCTTGTATGTTTTCACTCTCGGTGCTCATAAGAGCAATGGAGGCCATTTGCTTTGGGGAATGTCCTATGGAGAGTGGGGAAAATATCCCCTTCTTTCAGTGCTGTATTGCCAATCCAACCCCACTACTTTTAGCAACAGAAAAGAATCCAATCAATGGCTGTCCCACTTAATGTATAGTCTGACCCCAATGTATGACATAAAGCCCAGATTACCCGGCTATTCCTGGCATTCTAGAACACCAAGAAGTACTATGAAGGGCAATTGTTTGTCTCTATGACAATTTCATGAAGGTTCTTCTCAAGCCCACATGGAGGAGAGGGTAAATCTATGCAAACAGAGATGGGCCCTGCCTGGCCAGAATTCCATCTTCTCAAACTATCCAGAGTCCTGTTGAAAGAAAGCAAGGAAAGACCCTGCAGACAACAAGGTTATCTATATAAAGTGTTTCTCCTAAACAAAAGAAGGTGAACTAGCTCGCAATCATTTTCTTATTTTTTCTCATTTTTCCTCTGCTTGGTATGGGATAGGTACTGTTTCAGATTCCTCTGAAAGTTGATGGTAACCAGAATCAGGGTAGCTGCCCACCAGAAACTGCAAGCTGCCCCAGGGGTGAAGGTTTGCAGTTAAAATGGATCCCCAAATGCCCCATGACCAGGTGTCTGCACACCCCCTCTAATTCCTTTGAGTGCAGTCTCAAGTTCCACCCAACATGACTGAGGAGTTTGACTGAGGAGCCACCCTGGCCAAACCCTCTCCCCCTTCCTCTCTCATTGTGATGCTGCTCCATCGTTTTGCTTAAACTGTATGCTTCTCGGTATGAGGCTTTATTTGTCAATGATTTTGTCTGTTTGCAAGTGGCTCACCTATAAGGATTCATAGAGTGTGGTGATCTCACAGAGCGTGGATACTGAAGAGCAGAACAGAGCGAGAGAATTCTACCAACTAACAGGTTTGTGGAACAAAAACGTGTCCCTTCAGATGGAAGTTGGACATTTGAGACAAGGGCAGCCTGGTCCTATTGTAGACCTCATTGTCAAGGTACTACAAGTTCTGCAGACCACTGAGAACAGTTTTGAGCTTCTGTGCAGCAAATCTTCCCACCTTCCTCTTTCTATGGACTTTCCATTTCATGAACTTATCCTTTCCTAAGCAGAGTGAAAGAAAATACAGAGGAAGAGAACATCATTTCTATCCAAGCTTAACAGTATAATCTGCTTTTGGTATCATAGCTCAACCCCTGAGTATGTGCAGAGTCTTCTCCGCTCTCTCACTCCTGTGCTTGGGCATGGGCAATGCTAGGAATCCTGTTTTGTATTTTTGTTGTTGTTGTTAGCTGTGAAGTCGTGTCCAACCCATCACGACTCCATGGACAACATTGCTCCGGGCCTTCCTGTCCTCCACCATCCCCCAGAGTCCACTCAAGCTCACACCAACTGCTTCAGTGACTCCATCTAGCCACCTCATCCTCTGCTGTCCCCTCCTTCTTTTGCCATCTATTGTTCCCAGCATTAGGCTCTTCTCCAGGGAGTCCTTCCTTCTCATTAGGTGGCCAAAGTATTTAAGTTTCATCTTCAGTATCTGGCCTTCTAAAGAGCAGTCAGGGTTGATCTCCTCTAGGACTGACCGGTTTGAACTCCTTGCAGTCCAAGGGACTCACAGGAGTCTCCTCCAACATCACAATTAAAAGAGCTCAGTTCTTCGGCATTCAGCCTTCCTTATGGTCCAACTTTCACAGCCATACATTACAACTAGGAAAACCATAGCCTTGACTATACACACTTTTGTTAGCAGGGATTAGCCCAGTGGAATTCAGCAGCATTTCCAGTCTGGCAAGTGGCAGCAGACTGGATTGGGTTATTTTGTTTGAGTATGTGCAGAATTGCCAAATTTAACCTATATATCCTGTGGGGATGTGGGACAATGCTGCTTAGCCCTATCAAAACCCCTTTTTCAGAGGTAGCCTGAGTTTTGACAGCTCCCATCTAAACTTGCAGCTCCCATAAATGATATTAAATGAGCGCCTGCTTTTCCTTGTCCCATCAACCACTAAATTTTTAATTGAGTCTTGTTGTTGCTATTGTTGTTGTTCCTTGCCTGCTATTTTTGTCTTCTACATGCACATCAGAAGGAAATGGCAATATGTCCAGTTTACTCTAGAGGGAGCCCGGCAATCTTCAGGTGAAACCTTTAGCTGTTACAATATTAAATTCAGCAAAACTGAGATTCTCCCCTAACTGGACTTGATGACCAAATGCGATAATTGGATCAGTCTCTTTAATATTTAGACAATAGCAGATACTGAACATGGGAAATGGGTGGTGATACAGAATTGGGAGCACAGTGCCAGGGAGAAAAGACATTAACTCATTTTCTATTAAAATCATGCTGACACATAAGCTGCTATTTTCTGTATTAGGAAAAATGTGTGTGCCCTATTCTCTGTTAATTTTAGCACCTTCAGCAGGATTCTTTGAAGAATATTTGAATTTAAAGATAGGTGGGTGTGTGTGTGTGTGTGTGTGTGTGTGTGTGTGTGTGAGAGAGAGAGAGAGAGAGAGAGAGAGAGAGAGAGAGAGAGAGAGAGAGAGAATCTAACTGTGTTGTTCCACCATGCTTGCAGAATACTTTCCCCCTCCCTGCAGCCTCCCAGGTCTACTTCAGAGGATTGGGGAACCCTCCAGAATAGATATGGTGCATGCACAGAAACCCACAGGGGAGAGGAGAGGACAGAGAATTCCTACTACAAGTCTGGACATCTTCTTGCATGAGGGTTGGATCCAACCCATATTCTCTCTCTCTCTCTCTCTCTCTCTCTCTCTCTCTCTCTCTCTCTCTCTCACACACACACACACACACACACACACACACACAACCTTACATGTTACAAGCATGTATGATTGGTTTGCAGGGTTCCCCCAGCTAGCACTGCTGAGGTACACAGCAAACACCCACTGGCTGCAGTGAGGAAGTGGCCCTGTAGACTGCCAGGGATGCACAATATGGCATGGCTGCCAAAGGTGGGCCACATTCTGGTGTACCCTGGACCGGCCAGCGTGCACCTCAAGCCCCTTGCCTGCTTTCAGCAGGTAGATAACAGAGCTTGCCTGGGACTCCTCCCACTACAACACAGTTTCTGTACAGTTTGAAGTGCCCAATCCTTCCTCATCTCGGAAGCTAAGTAGGGTTGGGCCTGACTGAAATCCGGATGGGTGACTTAAATGTTGTGAACTGCCTGGAAAGCTTTGCCTATGGGTTGTATAGAAATGTAATGCAATAATGATGATGATGTGATCATAGCATTTGATGGGGTAAGGATGGTGCATGCCCGATGCTTCCGCTCAGTGACCACAAAGCAATGCAGCTCTCCTGCCTTTTTATGGCATTCTTTCAAAGATGCTCAAGCCCAGCCACCATTTTCTTGAGCACCCCTTTGTTTCGCTGAATGGCATGCTATGTTCAATACACACCAGGCAGCTGTTCCTTAACATTATGCTGACCTTAGCATAAGCACAGGGGCGGGATGGGGGGTGGTCTCTGATCCAGATCTGGCCCACTGTGTGAGGGTAGGGAAGCTTAAACTTTTCTACCCAGCTGCTTCCCCACCACCACCCCACTCCCAAATTTTCCCACTATCACCACCCATGTGGGGATTTAGAAAGATTTTTTGAAAGCTCCATTGGCAGCAAAGGAGTGTGGGCATTCCCAGGAGTGATATGCAAAGAAAGATCGCTCAAAGCTTGTACATAGGGTTGCCCCTATCCCCAAGAAAGATAGCTCATGTTTCACCCCAGCCTTGGGTTCACCAGTTAGAAGCAGCAAATTTCTACCAGCACATGCAAATTATAACTGAATTATAGACAGGCCATTAAACTAAGGCTGCTGCCTTAGTTTGCCTTCTTGAAAGCTGAATCTTACATGATCAATAGTGCTTGTGCCAGGGGAAAAAAAGGCTCAGGAAGGACACGTTAATGTGAAATATATTGCCATTTCTCTCCCAGGACTTTAATACATAGCACAAATCTTCCCCTCCCCTAAAATGCACTTGTCATGGGTGCATTATTGTTTGTTTTCTCCTTTACATGCGCCATCTGTGTATTCCAAATGCCTATGCAGCACTAGTATGTAGATTGGCTGGTATTTTTTTTATCAGTCTTGCCTGCTGGGCCTCTATAGCCCGGCAAAACAACCCATGAAAAACCCCAGCTCCTGGGTTCACATGTATTGACATTCCACAGTTTAAATAATCCAGAGTTCACAAACCACGGGTTCTCTTCCTGAGTTGTCTTAGGTTAGAAAATCATGGTTTGTTAGCATGACTGGATTTATGCATCCTGACAAATCAGGATTCAACAACCTATGAGTTAAATAAACCATGGATTAGCCTTATATGCAAACCAGGGCAACTCCTCACATTCATATTAAATAAGTAGACACAAATTCTGCCAGCCCTATGTCATCCTTGAAAGAATTTAGAGTTTTTCACTGAAATACACAGAAGGATATACCTAACCCTGCGCTTTAAAGAATCCAGCCTGCCTTTTTCATTTCTTAGGCTTTGGAATAAGCTCCCATCATGAGTAATGGAGGATGGGTGGGGACATGGAGGCCTCATCGTCCCAGAGGCCCAATCATGGCCCAGTATACCAGCCCTGGGCCCAAATACTACATACAACCAGGCATAGGTAAGTAGGAAGAAAGAAACCTTTTGCTGTTCTTTTTTCAAGGTGATTTGATCATGCCTTTAAAAACTGTAGGAGGCATCATTAATTTCTCTCCCATCACTTTTCACATGCAGGTGAACCATCCCCACTTGGGGAACAACCTTCTGAGATGACATGCTGTGCAAACCCCACTGAAAGGGATGCACACACTTTTGCGAAGCTCTCATTTCAGCGGGGTTCATTCAGAAAAGTTTCCTAGTAGATTGTGCCTATTTTTCCTGATATATACTCATGAAATGAGAAATTATACTAACATATTATTCTCTATGAATTTTGGAAATAGCAGAGATGACTCTTTTTTACTGGTTAAGGCTGAATGTTACACTTCTCGGGCCTGAAGAATTTCTGAAGGTCATCCTGCCAAAGTCCCACGGGTGACATTCATTCTTGATATGACTGATTGACATACAGCCTAGATTCTAATCAGGGTTCTGTGGATCCTGACATGCTGTCATCATGCCATACAAGCCCCCAAAGAACAAAGAACCTGAAAGGCCACATTGGAGACCAACAAATAGATCATCTCGTAGAAGCTTTCCTAAGACAGATCCTACTTTGTCAGATGTATATAGAAGCACAAAATCCAATATCACAAGACTCCCGGAGCCAAACTATCTGAACAGTGAGAGAGTTGTCATCAGATTTTCCTACTTCATGTTATTTTCCTAACACAGCAGGGAATTTAATTACAATGTTGTTCCTTATACTAATGCCCCTGATGGAGGTGAGGTGCAGTGTCCTGACAACTTGAACAAATCATCCTGTGGGGAATGGTCCAGGCACATCAAGCTACCCCGACAACTCATGGATTGTCACAGGGGTTGTTGTACCCGCAATGAGTTGTTGTGTCATCTGAACCTATGCAACAGACCCCATCATATGTACCAGGAACTGTCAAGCAAGACAAGAGTGATAAAAATCCTTTGCTGCTCTTGCTGACCCCGCCTCCCCTCCCCAGCAAACTGCCGGGGCAGCTGCCTCAGAAGTGCCCCAGCAGCACTTGGGGCAGCTGGCATTGGCTTGCTGCCCTCCCCACCATGATCATGAGCTGCTTTGGGCTCACCCTCCCTGCCTTCCCCCCCCTCGCATTTTGTGGCAATTGTGACCTCTAGCTTGACACTGGTTTTTGCAATCCCCATTCTGACATCCACTAACAGCCCCTTCAAAGTGTCCAAGCAGTATGTTGGTTACAAACACATATTTAAATCATTTTGTACCCCCAGTGTGTGCAAATATTTGTGTGTGGGCCGTGTGCCTGTGTTTGCATGTATGTGTATGCTTTTTCACAAGTATGCACCTGCATGCTTGCCGAAGTCTGAAAATTTGGAGACTTGCCTCAGCAATGCTCAGGGAGCTACCTGCTGGCAAAGTGCAGCAGGTACCCATCCTGGTCATTGATCCAGAGGGACTCCAAACAGCCATCATTTCCCCTTTGATTTGATAGCTGTCAAAAGGCAAGCTGTCAAGCTGGACCAAAAGCACAAGCAAACCATGCTTGCAAAAAGGGATGATGGTATTTGCAACTCCTCCATGGCAAGATCCTCATTTCATTTCATTTCATTTATTTCATTTTTATTTTATATTTTATTTTGAGACTTGGCTGTTGAAGTGTGATCACACTTTTCCACTTGTTCTTGAGGCTATGTGCTGAAGAACATGGCCAAATATGAGCCACCCACTTGGAAAAGGGCTTGATATTTTGACAACTGGCTGTCAAAATTCTGGTCCCTTTTAAAAGGTGAAGCATTTTATAAGGAATGATCTGGGTCCACATGACACAACAATCCACCATGGCTTTTCACCCAAATGGGTTGTCACATGGTATGAACCCAGGCAGCATGGCAACCGTTTGCACCGAAACCATTTGGATGTAAGAGGCTTGTGTTTTTCAGGTTATGTTTCTCACATCCCAACCAAAAGGAGAGCCCCTGCCTATAGTTTGGGTGGTTCAAGACCTCCTGCCAGCAAAGACTGTCCTCCAGGTCCTTACAAAGTGCAGGGCTCCATGACTTGCAGGGGAAGGAAATCTGCTCCTGCTTACACAATGGCTGGTCGCCCCAGAGTGAGAGTGGAGACTACCCCAGGTCCTGGTGAGTAGCACTCCTCCATCCAAGGGATGTTTCAATTGGATCTGCTCCCCTAAGACAGTGGAAAGGTTTTAGCGCGTGAACGCAAAGACATCTTGTCAGATCAGGAGATGGAACAGATTCTGTCTTACTCAGTTTCACCTTTAGGAATTATTTCTAGTCCACAAGAATATTTTCTCAAAGGTGTATCTGGGCATCGGGCTAAAAGTGGCCTCAACTCATACCCCTGCATCTGGTATATCGGGTGTACTTGGCTTAAAATATGCAGAAAATATAATAAAAAGGTGCTTCAATGGATTGCTAATATGTACACCCAGCTCCCGACTGGATAATAAATCATAGGGCCATTTTTCTCCACCATTTCACACATAGCTTAGTGCACAAGATGTACGTTTGCCCTTTATATTACTTTAAATTACCTTAAAATTACTTTATATACCTTAAAACCAGATCTGGTGAGGGTTCCCCCACCCATCCTCCCTGCTCATAGAAAATACACTTTTCAAAGTGCAGGATTCAGGAGAGAGGCGCTCAAAGATTTTAGTGCATAATTTTAGTACCCCATCTAAAGGGGTAAAAAGTGGTTTTTGATCTAATGTCAACCATTGCTCTCTCTTTTCCCCAGCCTCATACTCGCCCGAAAAGGGGCATAAAATTATCTATAAAACTGCCCCTGTGCATTCCTTGTCATGCAGGACTTCTGGTGCGAAAGTGGACAACACACCAGGTAAGATGCATCCCTTGAACTTGTTTTGTGATTTCCTTTGAAGGAATCTGTTGCAGCAGCTTCTATACACTCACTTGCTGTCCACACTACTAAATTGTTGATGCCAGGTTAAGACATTCCTGCTCTTCCAGGCTTTTAACATAAATGGAAACATAGAAACAGAGCGAGTCAGAAGGGGTCTCCTGGGCCATCTAGACTGACCCCCGTCTCCAGCCAGCTCCACTTGTGACATGCCTTCCATGTGCATGTCTAGCCTATCCTTGAAAATAAATAAATGGTTTCAAACTTTCAGCATTTGGGGGGTTCATTATGGTGATCCCTGCAATGTGATATTGTATTTCATGCTATGCTGACATGTCTATAAGATTTATCATGATTTTACTTATAGCTTAAACATAAAGAACAGATTAAATAATCATTTTCTTAGATATTTTACCTTTACCGTAAAACACCTAGAAAAAAAGTATTTTATTCGAGTACAATCAGTTTGAGGCACAGTTGCCTCCCTGAACACAGGGGTATGGAATATCCTGGCGGAGTGCAGAGGCCAAGTTCGCCTGTCTGCCCTCCTCCCATTGAGGCGGCTGTACTTCTCCCCCACGTCCCACCTTGGAGCCAGCGGGAGGGCAGGAGAGGCACTCCCAGAACACTCCATGTGCTGGTGCAGCCTGTCTCCCACCCCGCACTCTCTTTCCTGCCCTGGAAGCCTGTTTCTGAGGCTGCTTCCGTCAAGGGCAATGCTCTCTGCCCTGGCTGCAGGGGTGGGAGGAAGGCACGCCAAGCTCAAAGCCCCACTGCTGACACTTTACCAAGTTTCTGCCATTGGACCTGGACTCCAGAGAATCTTGTGACCATCTAGGCTGCCTAGCATCCTTAGAACTGTGCGGTTTATAAATAAATACGTTTTAAGGACTTGACACAAATGAATTCCCCTGTAGTAGCATGCACGTCCATTTGAGCATGTTCACATGGATGCAAGCCCAACTGAGCAAGGCAGGACTTCCTCACAAACAAGTGACCATAGGACTGTAGTGTTACGATTCCTTCATTTAGGAAGGTGTTTTCTGATGGCGGGGAGGCCACGGTGGAGGCTGCAGTGCTACGTGTTCAGTGGCTGGTTATACACAGTATTTATTTATTTTATTTATTAAAACATTTCTATGCCGCCCCTTGTCGTAGCCTCGGGGCGGCTCACAACATAATAAAATACACAATAAATTAAAACAATAACAATTAAAATATATACATTGGAATAAAATAAGCCGCCCTGGCCAAATAAAATTCAATGATATTAACATTTAAAATGCTGCTTGTCTTTTTAAATGTTAGGATTTGAGCACTGCAGAGACTGAGCAGCACCCTCCAAAGGCCCCTAATTTAGAAAGCAGCAAACATTCAAAAGTAATTTCTGATGCATTAGGGTGGCTTGATGTGCTCAAAGAAAAATAGGCAAACACTTCCTAGTCTTACCAAACCGTCTGGCAAAGCCAGCATAGCATTTTGGAGCCCAACCATTATACGCCTCTTCTGCTGGCTCTGTGGAGGCTCCTCACAGTGCCCTTTTTTCCCTCTTTCAGGTCCTAACACCTACATGGTCCCTGCAGTGCTTGGATCTCACACAGCGGCCACCTCTGCCAGCCCTTCTTATTCCATAACAGGGAAGAGCAAACTCGGGCGGTTTGATGAAGATCTTCATAAGGTAGGATCTGTAGGCTCATTTCATGTCTTGTTTCTCTGTAGTTACCAATAGTAAAATCAAACAAATTTTGGAGTCATTTGTTTGAATCTTTATTCAGTAATTAATATTTTACTCTAACTCATATTGTTGCTTAGCTTATACCTGGTGTCATATCTTGTCCTACATCTTTGTGCTGAAATTACTTCTTCAAAAACAGGTATCAAGTTGATTGTTATGTCCTTTAGCCCTAACAATGGACATCACAGGCTAAAGGACATCACACAACATTTCACAATTGCTTCACCTTTGTTTTGTTCCTTTTTGTCAATTTTCCACTTTACAATCAACTTTAATTTAGTTGTCATGTGTAGACTCTTTGTTTTGGTTTACCACGTCATACCTATTTTCAACTTTGCTTTTTAATTTTTTATCTGAACTGATAGATCACACATGACCAAGCAATATGAACATATGGATATGGATATACTGAATACTTTCAGTGCATCCATCAAAAAGTAGCAGAACACTAGCCATTATATGGAAATATTTTATTGCAATAGCTCAAGACATGAATCTATTTTTTCTTGAATAACAGATCTGTTGGAAGACAATGAGAAAGGGAAGAGAAAGAGATATTTGATAGGGATTTAAGGTTTTAGAGGCACTTGTCTCAGCCAGCTGAAGCATAAAATTGTGACCAGTACTGCACTCTTGTACACATTTACCAAAGAGTAATCTGCACTGAACTCATTTCGATGCATTTCTGAGTAGACATGCTTATAATTGCACTCTTAGGGGCACAAATCAGGATGAACTAGAACACAGAAGGATGTGAAAATGAGACGGTGCTTTAAAAATGAGAGAAATGGCTGCTGCTAGTACTTCAGTATAACATAATTAGCCCCTCGGCTTTCCTAGGAAATTCCAAGATTCAGGCTATACATTTTTAAAATCCTTGGAAACCCTGCTGTTTTCTTCTAGACCCCAGGTCCTGCCGCATATCAGAAGCCAGCCACAGAGATCTACAAAAAGAGGGCACCGAAGTACTCAATGGGTGGCCAAATCAGGAATCTTCAAAATAACAAAATACCTGGACCTGCAGACTATGAAGTAGGAAAGGTGTGAAAGAGCTTCCTTCCTTCTATTTTTAATTGTTTTCCATTGTTGCTGATTATCTACCCTGTAACAGACATCACATCCTTTCCTGGCAAACAGCATGAAGTTTGCCAGAAGATAATGGAGAGGAATGAGTGTAGATTAATTGTCCAGATGTAACTGGAAAAGAAGTGAGGGGCTGATATGGGGTAGCTTAGCAATACCCTTCAGTTTTATGATTCCAGAGGTCAATACCTTTGAGCAGCTTTCACTAACCTGGTGCCCTCCAGATGCACTGGATTGCAGCTTCCATAATTCCCGTCTCCATCTCCCACTCTGCATTTCTGCTTGATGGTCCCTTTTGGTTGTCTACACTAGTGGGGGGGCACTGCATAGTATAAGTTATATCCTTACCTCTGCAGTCCTCTCACCTCCCTGTCTACAAGAACACCTCCTTTACTTCCACTCCAAAGTCAAATTCCTGACCTTGCAGTGGCAGCCTGTGCTGTTCTTTCTGTATTAGCCGGATGCGGGGAGGGCAGGCCTGGGTCCTAGAGCATGGATTCTCGGATCTGAGATAGGCATTCTGTTTCCAGCCTTGGTTCTGGGAATCCAGAGGATCCTGTGCCCTCTCTCCATATGATGTGTAGGAGCCATAGGGATGCTGCCTTAAATTGTTTTTGAATTTTGTACACTATCTTAAAATACATTATAGTTTTGTGTTGTCATTTCGTGAACTGCCCAGAAATCTTCAAATATTGGGTGGCACAGAAATGAAATAAAGGCAACCGTAATAGTAGGCATGGCAACATCTGTCCTGAGCACATGGACATGCAGCATGTGAAGGGACTTGTGGTCTGAACTTGCTTTCTCAAGGCATCTGCTTTAGCAGGGCTTTGTTTTTGTTTTGCCTGTTCGTTTGTTTTACAAATTTTAGTCTTAATTTTTAGTCTTTATTCCTTTCCTTCTAGGTTCCACAATCCATGGGGGGTGGGGTTGGGTGGAACAGAAAAGAGATAATTTGTGAAGGGGTATAGAAAAGAGACACAGGGATGTAGGTGGCGCAGTGGTTTAAACTGCTCTGCTGCTGGGCTGGTTGATCGAAAGGTTGCCAGTTCGAATCTGCACAACGGGGTGAGTTCCCGTTGCTCCGTCCCAGCTCCTGCCAGCCTTGCAGTTCGAAAGCATGCAAATGCAAGTAGATGAAAAGGTACCACTTTGATGGGCAGGTAACAGCGTTCTGTGAACTTCGGTGTTTAGTCATGCTGGCCACATGACCATGGAGACTGTCTGCGGACAAACGCTGGCTCCCTCGGCTAGGAAACGGAGATGAGCACCGCCCCCTAGAGTCAGGCATGACTGGACTTCACATCAAGGGGAAACCTTTACCTTTATAGAAAAGAGAAAGTCCTGAAAAACTGCCAAATGCATCCCAGGGCCCTGAGAAAGATGGCAAAGTTATCTACCTTTGCTCTAGAATGACTTGAAAAAGCATTTTAGTGAAACTTATTGGAGGACTCTGAGCTGCCAAGATCTTACAATGCCTTGGGAAATTTTGCACTGTTCATGTAGGCCCTGCAAAACCCAATCACAACACAAGTGAATATTCTTTTGTAGCAAGAACACATTGGGAAGTGGTCACATCATGGCAAGTGGCTGTTGCGGTGAAAAAACATTCACATTTCTCTATAAAAAGATATGTACATTCAGGGACTCAAGTTCTTCAGGTTATCTAACCCCCCCCACCCCCCGTTTCATTGCCTGGGCTGAGTTTCCCAGTTATAACCCATTATACTTACTTGCACTTAACATTCCTCATTCAGAAAAGCAGCAGGAAACAGCCTGTTTTGCCAAGAGGATAGATTCAAAAATAAAAATGATTAAGAATAGGTTAATGAAAAAGTAGTCTGCCTCACCTTATGTTTTCTTCCTCCTAGTTGTCATTGACCAAATCTTGCGCTCCAGTTGTCACTTTTGGAATAAGACACTCAGATTATACAACACCTGTGATTGTGGATGTCTACTGAACTTGTTCCTTGCACAGAAGCAAACTGATTTTTCTACTGCCATATCATGTTCCTCCACATTTTAAAGCTGCCTATTTGCATGGCATCTAAACCATCAGCAGCTGCTTGACTGTATTTTTACAGATACCAGCACTGAAGGACCATTTCAAATATTCAGAAATTGATTATTGTTCAAGACTGAAATTCTCATCTCGGACTAAGGGATGTGCCAGTTTCCTCTGGGGATGAAGGAAACTTACAAACATTGCAAACTTACTTGCTACTTTGAGCCCCTTGAATACACTTGTAAATTTTGACACTCACGTATAGACATGGTGTCATTCTCCAGAACTTTGGATTCAATATATTTTATATATACATGTTTATGAAAAATGCTATGTGGATTCCTGATCCAGAACCATTTCATGGAACTTGTTTATCCTTGCAATAACTCATATAAAAGTACTTTGTATATTCCTTTTACTGTCTTCAGCTGTGAAATGTGTTAAAAAATAAATCAGGAAATCAATGTTTATTTCATGTCCCAGCTATTCAATACAAGCTCACTCTTATCTTTAGAAGGCACCCTATGAAAATTGTAAGGATGGAGCCCAAAGTAGAACATTTGCGCTTTTTCACAGAACGCATAGTAAAGATTCAGATATAACTACGATGCTTTGCAATTCACTCAGGAATCAAGACCCTATTCTTAACACAGCAGCTAAAATCACTGACCCTGCAGTGACTATTTCTGCCACCCTTGCAGAAACAAAAGGTAGAAATAGTAAAAATGAGGTTTCACCAGTTTCCTTGCTTGGTATCCTTTGCATATTATGTGTACTCTCATGGCAACCCTGAGGAAGACCATTTTACAGATGGGCATCCAAGGCTGCAACAGCTATTTTCCCCACAAGATCATACACTGAACTCATAGAAGAGGCATATTAAGCAGTATAGCAGTATTTGTAATTCCTTGATAAATAAAAGTCTCCAGGAACCAAGTCCTCCTCTCTGTCCAGTTAACCACAATTCAGCTAGGAGGCTACATCCAACACTGGGCAATCAGACCTCCTCACCTCAGCACACTTCTCAAGTCTTCCCCAAAGGATTCCCTAATGCTCCAGAGGAGAGCCGGTGGGGGGAGGGGGGAGGGGAAACTACAAGAGAAAAAATGAAATCTGCCTTATTAGCCACTACCCTTGTATAAAGTTATCAGACACGATTGTATTTTACCCACAAAATAAAATTTGCATTTTATCATACTCTATGATGAATGCATCACTTAAGAGAACTTCCAAAAGCACACACCTCTTGTTTCTTAAGCAAAAGGACCCTAGGTCCAAAAAATGATGCAGAGGATCTGTAAATAGATTGCTCAGTGCTTTGTTTTTTTTTGTTTTTTAGAACTTTAAAAGCAGCCACAGGGCCTATAAATTCGATTGGCACAGCAGCACTGGGGAGGTAATTAACCTTTCCCTCAAAACAGAAGCAATTAATGCTAATTTGAGGAGAAACCGGTATCTTGTCTCCCCTGCCCCCCACCCCCCAGAACTCACAGCTGTGGAAGAAAAGATTTTGAGTGCATGGGAAAAGAAAGGGTTAAATATGCATTCTTCCAGTTTTGCTGTTGTGATGATTTTATTTAGGAAAAATGTTTATACATAATACTTCATCCAGTAGATTTTAGTGTAGTGAACAACAACGATAAAAAGAAACTAAAAACAGGCCTTAGTAACATCTTACCGTATTTCACAATGAATTCTTGAGGCAGGTATACTTGCAGAAAATAAGGTACATTAACAAATGTATTCAATTTGTTTAATTTTATTCTCAAGTTAACTTACAGGCGAAGGTACTATTGCTATGGGGAAATGTAATGAAATAGTTGACAGCAAGGGCAAGATTCACCCAAGGTAGAATATTCACTCAAATGCTAAAGATGAAGATCAACAGGTTGTACCTGCCAAGACATACAATGGATTGCCATTGGCAGCTTAATGACAGAATGCCAGGCAAGACACAAAAAGCTTAAGCTGTAATTCTAAACACATTTGCTTAGAAGCAGCTTAGTTCTCAGTCCACATGCCTTGAATTGCAATGTTAAGTAAATACAGCTTGGCCTTAGTTTTGCTGTTAATACACTGTTGGAACTCCAGGTACCAAAACCTTGGAGTAAATATTAAAACTGAGGAGTGCTAAAGTTGTAAGATTTCAGGAGAGGGGAATCATTAAGCAGGAGAGTTCCTGTGCAATCCTATATATGTCTGCTGAGAATTAAGCCTTGCTGAGTTCATTGACACATTGCCAAGACAGTTTGCATAGGACTGCAGCTTCAATCTAGAATTAGTGAATCAATTAAAAAAAAACCACCAAGGAGGAAGGTTGATTAAAACAATTTTTTTTAAATGAAGGTATTTTAACTTGTTGTAAGATTTGTTGTCAAAGACAAATGTAAATAATCTAGCCAAAAACAGGAAGGAAAAATGAAGAAGTGATAACACCATTTATGTAAGTTTTCATTTCACTTCATTCTGAGTATTTTGAACATACTTCTGTTCTAGAAAGCAAATCCTTAAGAACAACAAGCAAAGATGATTTAGTAAACTTAAATGTTGATATTTCCAGGAAGTGGTGATAAAGTTAAACAATTACATTTGAAATAAGTTGTCCAGAAGAGCAGTACACTTGTTCCCAGGAGATGCAGGTATCATAGTATCATAGTACTCCAGGTGATACTTTTTAAAACTCTAACTTGAGTATGGGACCATTTCTGCTATGAGATTTCAGGATTTTCCTGATGAACCATAAAACTATAGGAGACCGCATTGCCAGCATGCTTTTCCTTCTGCCCAGCAGAGACAGAAAAGTAATGTATGAAGGCTTCATTTCAAGGAGTTGAATTGTGCTGTATTTAAGCCTTCAGAAGTAGTACTTAGAGAAAACAATATCCTATTTTAAGTAAAGAAATCAGCTCAGGACAATTGAAAGAGAACACTGGAGTCCATGTTGGAGACTGTGGATCACTGTGAACATTTGAACAGTTCTTCCCAGGATGCACACTTGGCAGGCTCCCAAAGTTTTTTTCCCCCTTCATTATCAGGGGTTTGCCCCACTTTAATAAACATTCAGTACAAATCTTGACAATCCCTCTCAAGTCCGTGCTCTTGTCACCAAGTAATAGAGGATGAAGAAGACGGCAACTAGTCCAGCAGAGACATAACAAAGAAGTTTGCGATTGTCCCTTCCTGATCGGGTCATAGTGGAGAAACGCTTCACGCTCCCCGTTAAAAGACCTGTCACACTCATAAAATCAGAGTCCTAAAACAAAAAGGTAAAATAAGATACTTAGAAGATATTGCTTATTGAAACAGATAGCTCCTATATTCTCAAGCAACAAAGAAAATTATATTGTTGATCTAGAGTTCTTTCAAATTCCATGTTAAAGGAACTAGACTATTTCAGAGAGAGAGAGAGAGAGAGTTCAGTCAATCCAAATTCCATTTACTGCTGCTTAACTCTTTGAAGGGCAATTTCTACTAAACACAGACATATGCACACACATTCCAACATAAATACATCAGATAGATTTAAAATGTAACACTGCTAACAATTTTATAGCACTTTAGTGTACCAAGTATCCTCATAACAATAGAATGAAAGTCACTTGCCAGATGTCTTTCTAGTGAGCTATACGATAGAACTGAAATTTGAACCTAAATGTCACCATGGCATACAATGGTCAGAGCAAGAATGCAAAAGATGCAAGTTATTACATGTGATTTCGCAGACTGAAAACATATCATAATGTTCTAGTTAGCATAAAACCAAAGTTGAACCCATCTAAAATTAAGTTTTGCTAAACAATTTTCAGCTGGCATTCAAAAGTTTCCTACATACTAGAATTAGATTTTAAAAGCTCAGCAAAGACTAATTTCTTTTTTAAAAAAATAACATACAGTACACAATTATTCTATAGTATAATTGCCACCTGCGTCCCTTACACAATTATTCTATAGTATAATTAGATACTGTGTCGCTAAATTTCAGGGGTGCTTCCAGAGAGGAGTTCCCATAGTGCAGCTATTCCATCTTTTCTTAACAGATCTCAGAACAAAGGGTGCATCCACATGTACACCCAGTCACTATCAACAGAAGTCTAACAGGTTCAAGTTTAATCCCTTTTGGTAAAGAGATGAATGAGGACAGCACCATATCTGTTACCAGGACTATATAACATGGAGTGATTTTTCTCTCCACAATCCACACAGCAACCTCCTGTGTGAGAAAAAGGGTGTAACCAACTCAGGAAACCGGTTTCCATAGAAATCAATTGCCCTTTCCTAGATAAGGATCTCTGTATCTATTGGGTATTAGTACTATAGTACTAATAGATGCTTACCATGCCATCCAAGTAGTGATTTTGATCTTCCACATCTTTGTCAATATCTAGCGCAAGCTATCCAAAACACAGAAACAAACAATGGTTACTTCTTTACTTGTTATTTATATGCCCATCTTTAGCACCTAGTAACACAATCACTTTGGTTTAGGAGTAAGCAAAATTTAAGTGATGTACAAACCGTTTTTAGCCGGGTGACTTTAGTGGCTAAGTTTTCTGTCATGCGCTTATTTTCATCATCTAGCATATCATCCACAGCGCACGCATTTTGACCTGAAACATAGATGAATCACATGACATAGATACAGCTAAGTAAACACCCAGCTGTTGAAACAAAAGGATACTGGCAAATCTGTGGGTTCTTTTGTGCTACTAGTTTAGATCTAGGCAGTTTTCACAACCACAGAAACACAGCAGCTTCCTCCTTGCACCAAACAAGAAGTGCACTCGAGGGAAATGCAACGAATTCCACGTCTCTACTGAAAGCCACGCTGGTAAAACAAATCCAGTTCCATAAACAGTACACCTAGCCAACATCTCTTATGCTCTGAAGCAACACTGTTTTCTTCCTTGTGTCCCAGCCAAGGCCTGTAACTGGCAGATGAAAAATGGGAGAACCGGACAACCCAGCATGAGAGAAGGAAGAAAGGGAGATGGAGTAGTGGTATTGTCGATGGCTTTTTTGTTCTTTGTTTTGTTCCCTTTTTCCTAGTTGTACCTTTCACAACCGCCTGACACAAATTCCACAGGCAAAGCTGCCGCCACCGGCAAATGGCCTACGATGGGAAAACTGCTTTGCGTTTTGGATGCTTAGGCAGCTCCAAAAAGTACAGAAGCCTCGACCAAGGGAAAAACGAGACAGCCCTAAGCTGAGAAGGGGTCGCACACGACTGCCTTTCCCTCCCTTACTCCCCACCCTGTCCGAGAGGGAAACCCCGCGGGGCAGTAGAAGCAAAGCACTGAAGCAAAACACGCCCACCTCTCCCGAAGGCAGAGCAGCGGCATTCCCGTCCCGTCCCCTCCAGCCCTCCCGCACCCTCACCTCGGCCCCAGTCCGCCATGGCTGCTTCCTGCCTCCGTGTCCCGCTCCGCCCACGAGAGCAGGCCAAGCGGCAGCCCGCTTGGGTGACGACGCGGAAGGCGTGCTCTGCTCGTGCCCGCCTCCCTTCCCCGTCGCAGAAGCCGGGAGGTGCTCCGCCGGAAGGCGGGCTGTTTCGGCGGAGGGGAGAGCCAGCTGGGCGCCGCGCCGCCTCTTGGGGCTCGGCTTTCGCAGCAGGGGAGCAGGAGAAGAACGCGCCCCTCTGGCTTCCCGGCCCTGCTTGCCGCCAGCCCATGCAAGGGGGAAGCCCTGCGGAAGCTAGGCCGTTCGTTGCAGCGAGGCTGGCTCAGGGCGCGCCCGTCGAGCCCTCCATGGCCTTTACGGAGGCCTGCGGTGCATCTTGGATTTTCCGTCTCCTGGATCACATTCTTGTTTGTTACGTATGCCACCTCTGTTAAAGTAGACAGGTGATTAGGCACAGTTGTTGCTCCTTATGTACGTTACCTCTCGCTCTTGTTGCTCACAGGCCGGAAAAACGAAACTCCTGCCAGTGTGCTCCTCTCTTGAATTGCAAGGGTCGCTTGCCATTATTTTGGTAGCAGGTAACCACACTTTGTCACTAGCCAATCTTGTGCAAGCTTAGACAGAAAAAAAATATTCTGCAGCTCCCAGCATTCCTCACCTGGCCATGATGGGAATCTTAAGATTTCATTTTTGTCTAAATATACATAGGATGATGCCCTAAATGGCAGGAGATCGAACTTCTGCGAAATGGAAAGCTGTAGGAGCTTCTAATGTACAGCAGGTGAACGTAAGAATATTGTTAATGCCACTGCCTTAGAATATATAAGCCAAATGAATGAGCTACCATGAGAACTAGGTATTCTTGCCATACTCTTCCTGTTTTGGGTAGGTAAATATTAGCTTAAAGAAATACATTTTATTAAAGTGTAGAACTATTTTGAAAACACGTTTGTCCCCCCAATCCATTGAATTTGTAAATGCCTTTTCTTCAGCTAAATGTATTAGACAGTTTTCTTGGATTTGGTACAGTACATTTTGTTGACATTGCTTTGGTATATAACGCCAAGAAAAAAATAGGACTCCGAGTGTAAATTGCTTACATCACTCTGAAGTCATGAGGTTTAGGTCAGAATCTTATGGGCTGAATTCAAGATCCGGATTCTGTGACTGGCAGGATTAATCTGTTTTTTAGAGAACCACCTTTCCCCTCAGCTCAGTTGGGTCCCCTGACTTCCTATGTAATATTTTCAGGGAACTGGGAAGGCTGCTGGGGGTATGAGGGAAGAGGGAGATCACATCTACTACCTCAACTGTATATATCTAAATCTGGATCCAACCCACGTATATTTACAAAGGAAAGCCCAGCCTTGGAAAAAAGGAGGGGCAAACCCCCCACTTGCCAAGATGCCAGAATGAAAATCTTCCTGGCAAGTAAGAATATATAGGTAGCCATTCAGCAAGTCTTATAGCTTGTTGTCTTGCAGAGCTCTGTGGTGCCAAATTACCTGAGCAAGCATAGCTCCCCTCAGTAATCTGCATCAAATACTTTTACTACACTGATTTAGCTGTTCAGATATGAATACTTCTGAGTAACAGTTGCATTTTATATTACTAAGTGGGAATATTACTAATAATATTTTATATTACTAAGTGGCAACATTTTCCCTTTTCTTGCATCTAGCAATCCTAGGTGCAGCATTATGTGATTTGTAACTATCACATAACCCCCAAAGCCAATTCGAATGACTGACCAATGGCTCTCGACTTTGTCTTAGGTTCTGAGCATGCAAACCCTGCAACTTCACTATCAAGTCAGGGTTTTTCCTCCTCTATCCTAACAGCCTGATTTTGTTTTTTAAATTAATACCTAGCATGTTTTAAAAACAAAAAAGCCTAGAGCTCTCCAAAGCTTTGCATCATTTTTTGTCATAAGAAATGTATTACATCAATGTGGATTTAGGAGTATATTCATTTGGATGAGAAAATCAGCCTAGAAATATAAAGTTGAGACAAAGACATTGGCTTATACATTATTTTCTTTTGTGTAATCCCTTTGATGTATCCTCAGTGAGACTTGCACAACAAAGTTAGTCTAGTCTTGCAAGGGTTGTATTGTTGCATTAAAAGACCAAAATAACCAATTCAAGATTTTAAAAGGATTGCACTTTCATGTACATCACTCAGTTTTTCTATACTTAATTTTTGTATATTTGGAGAATAGAAGCTGAATGTTGATTATGACTGAGGTGATGTGAAGCATAAGGAAAGTTTCATCAGTGGTGACTCATCCATACATTCAAGTTGTCACCTAATGTGCCCATCAAGTGATGAAAATGCATGTGTGAATCAGCCCAAATTCATTACAGTTTGAGTGCATTTGCACATTATCTAGTGCTGTACAGTAAAATTTATTTCTATATAAGTATACCTGGGAGCAAACCCTACTGTACTCTGTGGGGTTGCTTCTGAATGTATGTGTATAGGATTGCCCTGAAAATAAGTATTTGCACACACAACAGAACCACCAAGCATTTTCTTTTAGTACACTTCAATCATCTTGTCATAGATCAAGAGTAGTTAAAATAGTGATAGTATTCATCATTCTGCCCCACCCTGCTTATATCCAGACAAAATGTTAGGGGCAGTTTGCTAGGACTGGAGCACCTTGCTGTCAATGGGCATGTGCTGAAATAAAGGTCCAGGGCCCCTGAGGATATCTGTGGCACCTGATCCCCCTGAGTTAGCTGGCTTTTTGCTCACATGTGCTTCACTTCCTGCTGCCCCCCCCCCCTTGAATTTTTCTGCCAGAGGGATCTTTTTCCAAAATCAAATGCCCTCCTCTCCCCTGCCTATCTTCCATTTTACAAAAGTCACAGAGAAAGAGTTCAGGGCATATGGAAATCAGCATGTGCTCATCTGTGCATCTTTTTTGTTCTGTGGGCCTGAGTCCTGGATCTTTTAGCTACCCAACACCACTCCTGTTTATATCACATGTGGAAATGCAATCATTCGGAAAAGCTTTGCATTGCTTGTTGGAATAGAACTATAATTTGTACCAGTTATTCCTGATTCCGTTACCTGGAGAAAAAGGACATGAACTTGCAGACTATCTCTCTACACAAGAGAGTTTAAAGCATATTTTGGCATTGTTGCACCAGGTGGGATTCTGAATAACCTTGTAACCGAATAGAGGGTTTCATAAGTCTCTCAACTCCAAACCGAAATCAAAATCCATGCTTTTGAGTGCCCTAGTTGATGTCGCTTGCCATTTTGACGGTTGTCGTGGAAACAAGGTCAAGAACTTAGTGCAGCCAATCAACTGTCCAGTACCACTTCCGTATAGTTTTGCATTCATTCTTTCCCATCAACCTTGGAAAAAGCAGTAGCAGAGTTAGTGGAAGGGGTGGATCTCCAGAGGGATCAGTTTTTTCTCGGCAGCCTGCTGTTGTGATTCCCCACTGCGCCCTTCGCTTTTCTGCTAGCAGGATTTTCCAGTGTGAGCACAACAAAGCTGCTCTCTACATTGGAGGATTCGAAGAAGGCTGCAGAGTTGCTGCATTCAGGAAATGAAGCAGGAAGCCTAATCGAAAAGTGCGCGCCCAAAAGGTGGCTACGCTAAAAAGAAGGTAACTTGTTTAGCCCCGGTTAACTGGCTTGATGTTTAAGTTTCCAAAATAGTTGAAATTGGTAGTACTAGCTAGAATGGCATTTAAAGTGGAAAGGAAATGTTGTTTTAAAATGTTCATATAGTATGAATAATAACAATATGCGTCTTTAAACTGTGGAGGATATACTTCGAGAATTTCGTGTACATGTTGGATTAAGACAGGCCAAGTTAATTGAATGTTTTGAATTTTCTTTAGCCTGTAAACATTTTCCGAAGGGAAGGCAGCAAGCTCTGGTAGATCCGGAAAGATTCGTACACCCCAAGAATGCAAACATGCCTAAAAAGAAGCAGGTCTGATTCCAGCCTGTCCATGGTTGTATGCAAAGACTTGTTTGTTTTGTAATGTCTGAACGCATTTTTTGTGGGGGAGTGCTATTTTTGCAGTGCATTCATTGGGAACTGGGCTGAAAAACAGACTGTTGTAGTAATTCCCAAATATGTATATCTATCTGTCTATTTATGCATATATTTATATGCCACCTATAACTGCCAAAAGGCCTTCCTAGGCGACTTATAACCTAGGCGTACGAAAGTGTGGCTCCGTAATGGAAGTGGAACTACAAGCATGTTAATCCTTATTTTAAGAGAAATGCTTAATTTTTTAAAATAATCTACTGTTCTTCTGAGACTGGCTGACCTTGTTTCAGAGCTTGTTACAAGTCACTTGGTACAGTTAGTGGTGGTGTGAAGCTTCTGCTTTGATGAACCATCACTTGTTCATAATGTTTGCTTCATTGATGGAAGGTTCCACAGCGGTCATAGCCTTCTTACACAACCCAATGATAAGATGCTAAACATGGATATGGGCCAGTTGTACCTCTCTCCCCCCCACCCCCATACTGGAAGGCATTGTTTGCTCTTAAATTATCCCAGTATGAAATTACATAATAACATGAGTAAATAAGTTAAATGCTCAGAAAAGATTTGGAAATTAAGGGTTGATTCACGCAAGAATTCTTTAGCTTGCTCTTCACTCCAGTGGCAAGTAAATTGCCTGAATTGTTTGTTGTGAGCACAAAACTTACTTTGCCAGCTCACTGCAGACTTTGCTAACGTGAGTTGTGCAAGTTGAGAAACCAAATTGTTATGTGGATCACGGGTCCACCAATGTTCATGGTAAAACCTAAAGTGATTATGCAGAAAGGTTAGATTGTATAAACATGACTAGTATGTTACAAAGAGACACAAGAAAGCCAGAATAATAGAATATACACATTTAAGATGAACTACAAGGACAGTTTTTTCTGATTTTGACATAATCTAATACTCAGAGGCAACACTTGTATATTTGAACAGTACAAGACCAAGCTGTGAAAATATCAGACCACTACTGCATTGGTGAAGTGCTTATTATAATGTGACTTGACTATTAGAATGTTCTGAAATTCTGTTAAATGTGAATTAGATGCCATGTGATAAGATGCCACGAGGTTTCTCATTCCACTGGATTTCAGGGATCTAGAACCTTTCTTCATGTGGCATTTATTGTGTACTTCTGATTCCTCACGCTCAGTAGTTCGTTGGTGCACAAATTGTCATTCTCTAAGGCCTCTCCCATTCTTTATAACTCCCCTTCCTCCCACAAAGAAAGTCCGGTATATCTGTGAATGCCAGCAATAATCCCTAATATATTTGCATAATTCTGCTACACCTCAGCACCACCTCATGTAATTGAACATACAGAAAAGTAGAGAAAGAAAATTGTTGAGAGGGAGGGCATGTGTAAGGGGGAAGGAGCCTATCATAAACCTACAAAGAATCCAGGAGCAGAAGCCTCCATAAAGTGGCAAGTAAAAAGCTTCATGTAAAAAGCCATATAGTGAAAGAAGCCCCAACTGCAAGCAACCAGTTGTAGATAAAATTAATGGGCCTGGATGAGGATGTGCAAGTTTTACATTCACAGAAGAGGGTAAAGAGTTAAAAACAACAACAAAAAACACACAACTTGTTTTTAGCACTCTAGTTATACATTCAGACTCTTTGGGTATAATTATGAAGGAGGGTTAGATTTCTTTTAAAAGAGCAGAATGGCAATAAGATGAGGCATTTATAATCCACTGGACAGAACTAAGTGTGTTGATACTTTGCCAAAATTGGCAATATATGTGTCTGCACATAGATATACATATTTTGGTATATGGTGCAATCTTCCTTTTTGTTTAGATATTTTATGATGTATTGTTTATAGCTGGCCACGACTCAATGGCAAGCAGTTAATTATGTACATGGAAATATTCATCTAATTTATTTTAGAGACACATCACACTTTATGTGGCACCTAGGTTATTTTTATTTTAAATGATTTTAGATGACCTTTCAGAGTGGTTCTCTCAAGACAGTGCACAAGAATAACACAGTTCAAAACTACACAAAATACCACAGACTCTCACTAACTACTTATTCAACAAAGATACTATCCATGTGTTCCGTTAGTGTTTCTTTTAGTTATTCATGTAAAGTGTGAAGGGTGTGCACCTTATCTCATGAGAAGTGACCTTTGTGCAGTCCAGCTCCTGGTGTTTTAGGAATGTTATCAGGCACTTTAATTCTGTCTTGCAACTCTAGGCAGGCAAGCATCATGTTCAGCCTTTCCATATTCAAAAGCCGGGACAGATTATATATAGGGAAGGGAATGCTCTGGTTTATGCAAACTAAGGATGTGGAACAGGCCAGGGATGGACTCTGTGTCTCTTCTTGTAGGTTGTGTGATCACAGCCTGCTGGCCTCCTTCTGCTGTCACTGCTTCTGTCATCACATAGTGTGAAATGTGCAAAGATCAGAAAGAACCTCAGAGGGAAATGAAAACATGTCACCACACTTTAGGAAGCTGACATCTTTATAGTCACACAGAACACAGGCTGAACATTTCACCTGAGGACCCATGGAAAACTGTGACAACAAAGTCCAGTGCCCGAGGTGGTAGAAGATACTAGCTTGCAACCTCCCCCTTCCACATTTTTTAAACAGGTTCCCATATTCAGATGTGAGTCCATTAAAGAAAAACTCAGATCTGTGTGCACAGGTTTACAAAGCTCTCTGACCTCTCATTTTGCCTCTATTTCCTGTCTGTAGATATCGATAGCTGGGATATGACACAGTGTATGTGTTTGTCTATATTATGCACACATTTTTTATATCACTGGGACAGTTTCTGTGAAGCAGCAGAAATCAGGCCAGTGGGTGGAGGGGAGAGAGGCTATTTGAGGGAGCCGCAGCATACAGTTATCTGTTCTGAGGTAATCCTCAGACTGGGGGAGGAGGAGGCTTGCTTGGTGCTTGGGCATTTATTTAATGCTGAAAAGCTCAGAGAGAAAGAGGATTAGTGGGAGAGTGTAAGAGAACCATTGGCTGGTGTTACTAGGATCGCCCATCTGCTCTGTGCTTCGGGTGTTCTGGAGTGGGCAGTCTCATTTCCTTTCCTCCCTGTCCTCTTCAGCTGCGTGTCTGCAAGGCCCGTGCGCATCTGTGATTTTCCAGCCAGACTGCAAGGCCTCCTGCCACGCTTTGCAGCCCTCGAGGCCACCTCCACTCTGTGGAGAAATGGCACTCCAGACCGTGCTAGAGACTGTGGAAAGCGGGGAGCAAGATACTGTCCTCAAAGTGCTGCAGATCTACAACCGAGAGGTGAGTGTTCATGAGGAGCTGTTTGCCTGATGCCTGCTGGGGAATCCCTTGGTCTGCTTCCCAGCACGCTGCCTTCAGTTTCCTCTCTCTGTGCAGATTCAGTAAAATGTGGCTAACCCCTGTAAGCAAGCTTTCGTTGTGCTTGCAAAGATAGGCTTTTTGGTCTGCTTGTTTGTTTGCTTTTTCTTTCGCAGGGGGTAGGTATTGTTTGTGACTGTTCTCTCCTTTGCTTGCTTAAGATGAGATGTAATGGAGAGATTAAGCTGTTTTGGTCAAAGCAGGGCATGGTGGAAATATAGATCATAGTTATTGGGGACGGATTTCAGAGAGCAGAAGAGAAAGGAGGAGGAGCTTTACGTGGCAAGCAGATGTGTGGTATTAACAAACACACAGGCCCAGGAGGTGCTCTGCATAGAGAATTACTGTGTATCATGTAATTTAAGATAATTAAAAAATCTCTTGACCTGGGATTTGCCATAGCTATGGCATTTGAATACTGATAGGGAGGAGAAAGAAACAAATGGATGTGGTGCGAGTAAGCAATCTAAAGGATCCGGCTTTAGATTTGATTCAAAATCTTTCATGAAATACTCAGATCCTTCAATAATAAGCATATCTAGGAACATGAAATCAAGTTCCAGTGAAGTGTATGCTTCTGACAGTAATTACAGCCAGTTGTATCAGGGCTTTTCATGCCCATGAAAGCCTCCTGCAGTAGTTCTCCAGGATAGGTGAGAAATAAGCAGAGATGCATATGTGATGCATAGCACAAAATGGCACAAAAGGGGGAAATGAATGTGAGCTGAAGAATTGCTTCCATGCCTATGAACTGAATTCTGCTGTGCCGCGCCATTGGTTTCCGACATCTTTTTTGATTGGTAATGCTACAAATTGAGTCTGCAACTTCCTGTGTGCAAAGCATGTGTTCTACTACCTAGCTTTCTCCTTGAATGCCAAATGGGCAGTTTTAGCTTGGTGAAAATTCCAGTTACAGAAATGACAACCTGAATAAATCAGACACTGAAAAATAAAATACTGGTTTGCATAAATCCACTTTTTGTAGATAGTTTTGTTCAGAGAAAATCAATATGAGGATAGGTCTGTTATCCTGTCTGGGAGTTTAAAAAGCAGTTAAGAGCTTTTAAAGAAGCAGACCGACCATCTTTTATTTAGATATTGGATTTATATCCCACTTTTTTCTTTTTTTATGAACTCAGAGTAGCTTACATCATTCTCTTCCTCGTGCTCTCAATCTTATCTCCACAACAACAACCTTTTGAGGTAGGTTGGACTGAGAGTCTGTGACTGGGGCAAATTACCCAGTTGGCTCCATGGCTGAGTGGGAACTAGAACCCAGATCACTTGAATCCCAGACATGTGCTCTTAACCACTGCACCACACTGGCTCTCTCTTTTGGTGTTTCTCTCTCAGTGTACGGTGGGATGATGCCATTTGCAGAATGCTGATAAAGATTACTCCCTGATACAGAAAGAGTTTAATGCTGAGAGAGTCTAAAGATTTGTGTCAGAGAACTCCAAAAGGTGAAAGCAAAATTCATGGTAATTACAGTGCTATTTGTTTCTTAATGTGTGATGACAGAGGAGAATAATTTTGTCCCAGAAAGATTGCTGTTCCTGAAAGTGGCAGCCATGCCCTCCGCTCCACTTCTCTGCTGTTGCCACTAACCAGCAGCTGTGCATAGGGCAGGGAAAGGCCTGGTTTGTGTGGGGTATACCAGTATACCTGAAGGAATCCTGGAGGTCATTAACGCCTCTCTGAGGGACGGCCGGGTGCCCTCTCCTCTAAAGGAGGTGGTAGTCAGGCTGGTCCTAAAGAAGGCGTCCCTGGATCCAGAGATGGCCGCCAATTATAGACCGGTGGCCAACATCCCGTTCTTGGGCAAGGTGTTAGAGCGGGTGATGGCAGGACAACTCCAAGCACTCTTGAATGAGACTGATTATCTGGACCCATTTCAGTCCGGCTTCAGACCCGGGTATGGTACTGAATCTGCCTTGGTCGCCCTGTACGATGACCTGTGCAGGGAGAGAGACAGGGGGAGTGTGTCCCTGTTGGTCCTCCTGGACCTCTCAGCAGCTTTCAATACCATCGACCATGGTACCCTTCTGGATAGGCTGGCGGGACTGGGAGTAGGAGGCACTGCTTGGCAAGGGGGACTTTGGCTCTGCGCCATGGCAGCTATGCCATGGAATACCGCAGGGGTCCATTTTGTCCCCCTTGCTATTCAACATCTACATGAAACCACTGGGAGAGGTCATCAGGAGGTTTGGGCTGTGGAATCATCAATATGCTGATGATACCCAGCTCTACCTCTCTTTTTCAACCAATCCAGGTGAGGCAGTGGATGTATTGGTGAGGGCCAATAAACTGAAACTCAATCCAGACAAGACGGAGGTCCTGTTGGTGGGTGGTTCGAGTTCCTGGTTAGGTGACTTGGACCTTGCCCTGAATGGGGTTGCACTTCCTCCACAGCTTGGAAGTGCTCCTCGACCCAGAGCTGTCCCTGGAGGCCCAGTGGCGAGGAGCGCTTTCCTTCAGCTTTGGTTGATCCATCAGCTGTGTCCCTACCTGGAGGACGATTGCCTAGCGACAGTGACACATGCATTGGTTATTTCCCGGTTGGATTTCTGTAACGCGCTCTACGTGGGACTGCCGTTGAAGACAGTCCGGATACTTCAGATGGTGCAAAATAGAGCAGCCAGGTTGCTGACGGGGACTGGGCATTATTCTCATATAACCCCAGTCCTCTACCAGCTTCACTGGCTTCCCATCGAAGTCTGGACTCAATTCAAGGTGCTGGTTATTACCTATAAAGCCCTTAACGGCTTGGGACCTGGATATCTAAAGGAACACCTTCTTCCATATTTGCCCTCCCGCCCCCCGAGATCAGTAGCAGAGGCCCTCCTCCAGGAACCCTCCGTGAAAGACATTAGGAGGCAAGGTATCCGGAGGAGGGCTTTCTCTGCGGTGGCACCCAGCCTATGGAATGCACTCCCCAAAGAGATCCGCCTGGCGCCGTCATTATTTGTTTTTCGGCACCAGGCTAAGACCTTTTTATTTCAACAACATTTTAATAACTTTTAACATTAGCTTGTAGGTTTTAATCTGCAGCGAGGGTGGATCTGGATTTTATGTGTATTATGTTTTATTTTATTTTATGTAAGCCGTCCCGAGTCTATGCGATGGGACAGCATACAAATAGAATAAATACATAAATAAGTGCTCTTCAGTACATGCTGAACAGTATACACTATTCAGTGTATGCCTTTCAGATATCCAAAGCTCTGATTTGGCATATAAGGGGAAATTGAAAGGATTAAGACTGCTTTTGGATTCTAGTATTTTGAAAAGGTACTAGAATTCCCAACGGTCAGTGATTTTCTGGCATTTTTTATGAGTGGTACTCTAAGTTCAGTGCGTAAGAATGGCTCAGAAATAGAAGATCTCATTAACAAGAAACCATTTTTTAGGAATTGCATATTGAACTCATAGGCTGGGTTCACATAGCAAGACAAACAACCCTGCATGGTTTCCACAATTTGTTTTTGTTTTGTGAGGACGTGCTTGACAGATGATCAAGCTCGTTGTGGTAATTCTCCTTCCTGCCATTTCCTTCGCTCTCAGTCCTCCAGGTGGTATCCCAGAAGGCATTGCAGAGAGGAATGAGGAATGAGGCTCCTCTCTTTGACAGTCATGATTGCAAGCCAGGTTCTGCCCAGTCTCTCTCATGCAACCAGGGCTCTTGCCTTGAAGCACAGCAGAGAGGACAAGGGAGCTCATCAGGCACTGTCATCTCCTGCTCCAGAGGGGACCACTGGAGAAGGAGGGAAGGTGCCTGATCCATGGTCAGGCCAAAGGTGGGAAAACCTGCTGAGCAGTTTTGTGGAAGGGAGTAGTACTGCTCAGTCAGTTCACCCTCTGCTGCCCCTCCTGCACATGCCAGAGGGAAACGCTTCATGCATGAGCAGGAGGGGCAAGAATAAGCTGGGCAGTGATGCCTAGTTGGGGCTGGGCACCTCAGTGTATACCCTGCCAACCCTCATTCTCACTCTGGCTTGCCAGAGAAGTGTCTCCAACCAGCTGAACTTTGTCCCTCCTGAAGGCTCAAAGGTCCATGAATCAGCTTTTACCATAGCTTCCAAACTGTTAACTAGAGGGTAAGAAAATTTAGTCCTTGATCCTGTGTGAATGGGGTTTGTATGGATGGATGACAAAGTGCCCTCTCGACTGAACCTGCAGGGGGGCAAACCTTGTTTGACTGGGCTGTTAAGGGGCAACAAAATTACAGCCGGTGCCTTCTGCTGGCATGTTTGCTGAAGGAGAGGAAATGGAGGGAAAGGGCAGTACAAGCTTCCCATCTTCTCGAGGAGGAAGGCATCTCCTAGGGTTCTATTGCCTATCCCTGCATGGCTGCAGAAATGTTAGCAATAGCTGTTTCCTGGAATGGTGAAGAAATGCATAAATGGTGTGCCCCACTTCCTGAAAATGGTCCAAATGGTATGGGATAGTTGATAGGATCAATTGAGAGAATGTGCTCACATGTTGTTGGAACTGGTGATAGAAATGGCAAAATGTCCTACATTATATTGAAATACCCATTCCCATATTCTGAGTGTGAGGTTTGCAAGTTGTAGTTTGTTGGCCCCTTTGTTTACACATCATTAAGTCCATTCTTACAAAATGCAGAGAATATGGCTCGACCATAATTCTGCCTAAAGAAGGCTATTCACCAAAACTCAGTGACCAGGTGAGGAGTGCATTAGTCAGAAAGGCAACCAGGAGACCAGTGGTTACTCTCAAGGAGATGGAGAGATCTGCGGCTGATATAGGAGAAACCATCCATGGGATGACTGTCAACCAGATGCTCTACAAACCTGGGCTTTATGGAGGGGACCCAGGAAGAAAGCCTAAAATAAAGTTACTGACACCAACCCATATCAAAGCCCATTTAAAGTTTGCAAAAAGCCATATGGGGGAGACAGCTATGGATGTGTGAAGAATCCAGTTTTGGGGTGGGAATCCATTAGTTTCCTCAGCTTGGCCCCCTGGACTCTGCCCCATTTCTCTCTTCCCTAGGACTGTCTCACACCAGGCATTTGTGTGGGTGTTTGGCAGGAATTAAGTTCAAGCAGAGTTGTACTTTCACACACATGACTAGTGGGCTTTGTACACTTTGTGCAAACAAGACACTCGTGTTCTTGAGCATTTGCAGACTTGATCTCAGCTCAACTTGCTTCCTGACCAGGGCTGAGTGTGGGAAAGAAGTCCATTGAGTGCAAGACAGCTGGATTCTAGCTTGACCTTTGCATCCAGCAAACATGTGGGGAAAGGATCTCTATTCTGATGAGACCAAACTAAAACCTTTCAGCCTTGCTGCAAAACGCTCTGTGTGGTTCATTGCCCTGCGAACCCCATTTCTGCAGTGAAGCTTGGTGCTGGAAACATCATGCTGTGGGAATGCTTTTCCTTGGCGGGGTCTGGGAAACTGGCCAGAACCGAGAGCAAGATGGCTGGAGCCAAATACAGGGAAATCCTAGAGGTAAACCTGTTTCCATCTGCAAGGGACCTGGGTCAGGGGCTTGGAGGGTTCACCCTGTAGCAGAACAATGACCTGGGCCAAAGTAACATTGGAGTGCTTTTAAAAAAATGAATATCTAAAATACTGCCCAGCCAATGCCCAGAGCTCAATCTGCTTGAAAACCTGTGGCAAGACTTGAAAGTTGCTGTTCAGCAGCAGTCCCCATCCATCCTGACAGAGCTGGAAGAGTGTCAGGAAAACAGCAAACATTGCAGAATATAGGTGAGCAAAGCTGAAAGAGACTCACCCAAGAAGACTTGCAGCTATAGCTGCTGCTAAAGGTGCTTCTACCAAAAATTGACTTGGTGGGATGAATACTTATTCAACCAACAAGTGCCAGTTTATTTTTGTTAATTTGTGCCACAATAAAAGTATTTTGTACCTTGTACCTTCACAGTGTTAATTACCTTGTGAACATCAAGTAAAAACAACACCAATTAAATCCATTTCAGTTCCAAGTTGTATTGCAACAAAATGTAGAAAAGTCAAAAGTCCTGATAGCTTTTTCTTTTTAAAAAAAATGCCTTGGCTCTCCCGAATTATAGTGTGACCACTGTGTGGAGAAGAGGGCTTAACCTTTCCCTTTCTGCATTTTCCCCACTGAAAATCAGCCCACTCCAGAAGCTACTATGTAAGCCTGATAGCAGAATCAAGCACAGTTTCATGTGTCCTTTCAGGAAAGGTTCCTTTCCAGAACTCTGTCCAGTTACACCACACACAAATATGCTTGTAGCAGCATATTATATTGTAAGTAGCTAATCTCTCTTGAGCTCATCAGCATGGGAATTCTCTCCTATGTGGTTGCAATGGATCTGATTGCAAGTTTAAGGGCATATTCTCTGGTGGATCTCTGTTGCCTTCAGAGCGGCTTTGCAGATGTAAGCAGGTTAGACGATTGCAGCCAAAGGTTATTTTGATTAGTGCTTAATATCATAAACAGTTTAAATTCCATCTTAAGTGCTACCTGATTATAAACTATGCCATCCTCACTGTATTAACATATCAATTGTTAGCACGGTTCTTTCCTTTTGTAGTTCACTGACTCACAAGCTATAGGCTGGGTTTTGAGGAGAAACCTGTTTATTTTCTGCCATTTATTTTCTGAATGAGTCCTTTGGTGCATTTATTTTATCATTTTCCCCATTAATTATCTCCTTTGCATTCCCAGAAAGCACAGTGTTTTACCTTTGAAGTTGAGGAACAGGAAGAAAGGAAGGTAAGGCCCTGATTTATTGTGCTTACTCTGTCGAAACCCTGAGACGTGAGAGACTGCCTGACTTACACTGGATGTTGAATGGGCTAAACTCCTCCTTTTAGCAGAGCAGCAGCTTTTCCTTCAAAACAAAAGTGGCCAGCTGTGCCAAAATTGTCATGGTTGTTAAAAAGTTTGCTTAACGTAATATGCACTTGGGCCCTCAACATTTACAAAGGTGTGCTGGCAGCAGCCAGAGAGCAGAGAGTTGCCTTGCTGGTGTAAAACCACTCACGGAGAAAAGTGTTGGGTCAGGAGCAGAAGGTATTTTGACAGCCATTTATACTAGTGGCTGTTGTGATATCTTTCGGCTCTATGCTTCATAAACATGCCATGCATAGATTAGGACTGCCAAGTTTTCACTTGGAAATGTTGCCCCTGTATCACCAGAGAGGGATCAGTCTGGGACCTTCTGATTTGCTTCTCTCTCGTCTGCTGGGGAAAAATCTGATTCTAGTTTTGCCCCACAGCAGGCAGGAGAGGAAGGTGGGCACAGCTGTTGGTGGATCAGCAGTGCAGGATAGGCAGTGACTGCCTGTTCTCTTAGTAACACAATACATTTAAACATACTGGAGAACTGCTCTCAGTCAGAGTAGCCAGCATTGACCTAGATGGACCAATAGCCAAACATTCTAAGGTAGCATCATATATTTACTATGTTGGAAGACTACTTTGTATGTCTTTTTTAGAAAGACGATAAATGTATGGAAATGATCTAGAGTTCATGTTTTTAAGTCTGATGTATTTATATGTATTACTATTTTGGCATCATTTCATTACAAAACTTAACATCCAGATGTAATTCCCAAGAGTGTTTTTGTGTCTTATGACTGTTATATAAAGTGTAAATCATGCACATCCTCCCATGTTATAGGAAGTGGTCAATGGTAGCAGCTAGCCAATTATTTTTCTAGCAATAAGAGGGATAATGTCATGCATTCACATGTGAAAAGTCCTGTAGTTGAAGACATCTTAATAATGAATTAAGAGTATAATCCTGTGGCCTCCCAAATTTGTCTGTGGGACCACAGAATTAATTAGAGTCTCACTTGAGGTTGTGAAACATCAGATCTGGGACTCTAAATGCCGAGCCCCCGTCCCATCCACCTCACTGACACCATGAAAGGAACTGCACCAGCTGCCTCTCCAAGGTCAGAAATCAGCCTCACAGAGGAGGAAAAGCAGCATGCTGGGGTCAGGGAAGCGAAGAGGCTGAGGCCAATGGCTTGTGCCACAGAATGCCCCCACCCCCCGCTTCCTTCCTCTTCCTCTGTGGTGTTCCATCTAGACAGCTGAAAATGGTCCACTGGGTGAAGGTGCAGGGTGGTAGCCATGCATTGAGACTGCAGTAGCCATGCAATGGACACATGTATCCTTCACAGGGAAATAGTCTTGTGTCAGTTATACTGAGCGACTATATATGGCAGATTTGTTGATGATCTTTTTACCACTACATACCTATTGATATAGTCCAGCAGAAATGCATGCAAATGCCAGCTTTCTAAGGCCTACTTTATATAATATATTCAACTATTATTTAACTGTTAACAGTAACAACAGTTATATATAATTAGTTACTGATTATGCATGAAAAATTGCTTCTGTTGCTTTTACCTGGCCATTTTATTGATTTTTACCCAGTTCTTTTATATAGTATTTTGTTTTTGTTTTATAGGATTGTTCTACTTGCTTTGGGTACCATTGGGCCGTTATTGTTTAGTAGGCACAGGAATCAGTATGATTTTATATTTGTTCAAGAGGACTTTCTTAAGATCCCATGCTGTGCTAGAAATGTAGAAAAATCCTCCTTATCTCAAAATATTATTAGGAAATGAGAAGATGGAATCAAGGGATTGTTGCATATCATGAGTACACAGATATCTTTATTGCGCTCACCCTTGAGGCAGAAAACCTATGTGTTTTGTTGTCTTCTGTTTCCCTAATATTCTACAATCTTTTCTCTAGAGTTTGATGCAGACACAAATGAATTATTCAGTCTTAAGAACAGTAGTATGTTACATAAACAGATGTATTCACTAATATCAGTTTAAAAGGCATTTAAGAGGTCCCGCTCAAAATTTACTTAATAATGCTGCAAGAATAGATTTCATCTGTGAGTTTGCTGAATTTGGGCGAATTTACACCATAACTTGGTGAACAAAGCAAAGAAACACCAACATGCAACAAGCCTTCCCAGTTAGAAAAGTACCCATGTTTTTACATCTGTGCTCAGCAACCATGCAAAAAGCACTCTCTGCTGCATCATTTTGCTGCTTTGTTGTGAGATACAGAGAACGTCCCACATATCATTGTACCACTTCTGTCCGTACTTCCCTGTCTTGCTTGATTCCATAGCCTGACCCGCCTGATTCTGTGGCTGAGCTCATGACTGCTTTCCCTTTTCAAGTGGAGAGGCCCCTTTGGACTAGGTCTGGCCAGAGCAGGATTCATTTACTATTGAAAAAGGTGGCACATTTTATGGCAGTAAATAGATAGATGTAAATATTGGGCTGGCTAACCATGTAAGATGCTAGTCCTACCTCCAGACTGTAACAGAGGGGCAATATTGTCCCTTTGGGTCTGGATCCTAGCCATATCTATTTACCTCGAGGATGCCATGTGCAAAGCCAGTTTTCTTGGACTGGATGAAAGCAAATGAGCTGCAGGACAAAACAAGTGGAACCTGCAACAAAATGTTACTATGTGGAGTGTTGCAGTTTAGTGTCCTCACTACGACTCATACATACACTCATTTTCCAACCCCCAACACCATCTTTTAGTGGCCACTGAACAAGTGTAATCTTCATTGGCCTGGTTTTTGGGTCACCCCTTGGAGTTTTTTCTCTAAAGGTTCTTTGTAGTTTTGCAATATTTGGGGTTCTCCGTGTGTGCTGCTACTTCCCTCTTGAGTGTTACTTCAGCTACATGTGCAACAATATTCACAACCTGAACCTTGTAGATTGAGGGTGTGATGCCTGTGCTTAACAAGCTGCTGTGCATGTCAGGTCTGTTCCTGTTGTTATGCTAGTGTCATGGGTACTTTATGTTAGCACTGTTTGCAGCATACATGGATACAGAGCTGAGGGAACTCATGGATTGTGAAGGTTCAGGGAGCATAATTTCATGGAACCTCTCAGATACACAAATTCAGGTATGGACTGATCCTTGTTTCCCATGCAGAAACTCATTTCTTGGCTATTAGATTTGTTAAGCTTCTCCTTTTTCCCTTCTAATGCTGCAGAAATTGGCCGCACTCCTGATCAAGTTCTTGGAGAGAGTGCTGCAGCCATCCTGCCAGGTCACATGCTTGGAAAGCATACGAATCCTATCCCGGGACAAAAGCTGCCTTGGCCCCTTTACAACCATGGGAAGCTTGAAGACACTCGCCAGGCATGCTGGGATTGATTACACAGAGGAGCGGATGCTAGAGGTACCAGACCTGGATGTCATCCTGGAGGCACTTAAGTGCCTATGCAACATTGTCTTCAGCAGCCCCCAGGCTCAGGAGGTGGCCTCTGAAGCCCGGCTTGTGGTGGGCCTCACAGATCGCATCAAACTCTACAACGAGAGAAATCTCCCACATGACATAAAGTTTTTTGACTTGCGACTTCTTTTTTTGTTGACGGCACTCAGGGTGGACATCCGACAGCAGCTTGCACAGGAACTCCGGGGTATCAGTCTCATGACAGACACCCTGGAACTTACCCTGGAAGTGAAGTGGATAGACCCTCATGAGGTGGCTGCTATGGGGAATCCTTCCCTACCTTTACCTCGGCAGGAGGCAGAGCTTGCCATGGAAATCCTGAAGGTCCTCTTCAATATCACTTTTGATACCAACAAGAGAGAGGTGGATGAGGTGAGTTCCCCTGGAGTGGCTTCTGGTGCTTGGTGCTATCAGCCAAGGACTGCCTTTCATCCATGATCCCTATAGTCAAGGACACCATTCAGGCTCTGCGTCCTTCTTTTGGACTTATTCTGGAGGAATGCTTACAGATTTGCCCGACTCACTGCTTCTGGGAATTTACTTTTGCTGCAAAGCCTGTTTATTAGTCACAGATTAGACAGGCTGAAATCTCTTTACTTTAGCAGAAAGAATAAGTTCCTAGTCATAATATAAACCGTTGATTTCTAAAATTGTCACAGTGTATTTGCTCTAAACATGGTAAAATAATGTGTGTTACAATTGATAGAACATGTTTTCCTACAGAGTAGGGCTATTAAAAGGAAAAGCATAGTAAATTGCCTGTTAAATTCACATCTCACAACTGAGATGATGTTTCTTCAGTAAATCTTGGCCATATCTTAGATCTATGAACTTGAAATACATTGATGGTACCCATAAATGCTAATCTGAGTTATGGGGGTGAGGGGGTCATGGAATAACACCAGGATAAAGTCAGGGTTCTAGATTTTTTGGAATAAGATAGACCTATTTCTGTGCCAAAAGATTGTTGTATGTGATGCTCAAAAGTGGATCTGATTTTTATTTGAATTTTTAAAAGCAAGTTTTGGAGGATGTTTTATTGCTTGTAAAGAAAAAATAATAAAGAAGGCACTCAAACTAAATTAATTTACAGAGCTTAGAGCACTATTAGCTAAGGAATAGAGCCTAGACCAGATGTGGCGAACCTATGGCAGGCATGCCACAGCGGGCACACAGAGCCCTCTCTGTCAGCATGTGAGCCAACTCGCCCCAGCAGCTGAGCATTGGATAAAAGCGCACATAGGGGCCATGTGCATGCTCGGAAAGGAGTAGTGGCGCCAGGCAATGACATCACGAGCAGCAACTCATCAGAGCTTTCACATGGCCAGTGCACTGCCAAGGATATATATATATATTTGCTTGGATTGGCCGTGAGTTGTTTTTTCTAAACTAAAACCTCAGTTTTCAGGTTTTATTGCAGTGTTGCCACTTTGCAATAAGTGGGTTTTAGGTTGCAGTTTGGGCACTCAGTCTCTAAAAGGTTCACCATCACTGGCCTAGAGGCTTAAAAATTAGTTTGCAGAGCATAGAGCTGTACTTAAGCTGTAAAGAAAATGGAAACACTTTCCTCTTTGTTAAATGACACTCAGGGTCTGCTCAGCGTTTGGAAGGATTCTAGTTAGCTGCCAGGCTTACATGTTGCCTCCCCTCCCCAGTACATACTCACAGAATTCAGAGATGAAAATTAAATGCATGCACACTCACACTCTGCTCAGCTTCCTGCTGCTGATACTTGCAGGTGAGACCAAACCTTAGCTCCAGACGGTTCACTGGGTCTGTTTTCTGTGTCCTGGCTCTGGCTGCATGCACCAGCCATGGGCTAATTAGGCTTTCCCTTTGCTATGTTTCAGTAGCCACCTTTATGATGTAAATACTATTCAACTAATTATTTTTTATATGTACGTATTTCCATATGGAATATTTTGGAGGGAAAAAATCACTGGTATCAACATTTTCTCACAGAACACATAGTCACATTGAATGGAACAAGAGGGTTCCATGGAGCACAGTTTGGGAAAGTCTGAGTTAAGGCAGGGTACCTCCCAGTAGTATCTGTTAACTTTGATGGGATGTTAGTGCTGAATTCAATGGATTAATCCATAGGAAATTCCGTAATAACTTTCACTTTCTGGATTAGCAATGAATTGTGCTGGAGGGTTCAGAAAGAGATTTTAAAGCTATGAAGAAGCCGTCAAAAGTATAAAGGGTAGCATAAGGTGAAGTGAGAATTGGTTGTCCTCTAGGGAAACATTTCAGTTATTTGCACATTATGTCTTGAAGATCAAAGAGTTCTGCATGAACCGACTGGAATCTATTTTGGGTGCTTGCTTTGGTTATGTATGAATTAATTTAAATGTGACAGCCTGGCTGCCTAGTTTTGTTGCTACTCTTGTGGAAAGTGACAGTTTGGGGTAAGAGAAGGAAGGCTGGGACAGCATTTGGGACCTTCTGTCTGCAAAGCATATGCTCTGCCACTGAGCTCTGCTCGCTTCCTCGTGCAGCTCCATTTCTGTGATTATACCCACGCATGTCTCCACAAACCTGGGAACCAAAAACTTTGAATTCTATGCAAACTCTATACATTTTGAACATAATCACTTGCTGTGCAGATGCTCAGATTGCTTGTATGCAATTTTTTCTTGAAGCAAAGGTCCAAAAGCACATTCACTTCTGAGGATGCATTGTTAAAAGAGGCTTGTTGCTACCCAGAGGCTATGCCAAAGAGCGATCTGCCTTCCCTCTCCTAATCAGGCTTTTTGTTTTGCTTGGGAGCCAGGAAGATGCTGCTCTGTACCGACGCCTGGGTGCCCTCCTTCGGCACTGCCTGATGATTTCGGCAGATGGTGATGATCGGACAGAAGAATTTCACAGGTGATTGTCTTGCTGCAAGACTTGACTCATAATACAATTCTTCTTTGGGTGAGAGAGTGTAATTGCTGACATTTCCTTAATACTGGAGGCACCAGTATCATATGAGCTGTGCAGGTTGTGTGGAGCATTCAGGAATCAGGGTGTCAGGATACACCTGACAGTGCCTAAGTACTTTAGACAACGATTATGATAATTACCTATGTACATGGCAGTTTACAAGCAAAAGGTTTGGCAGTTCCATACCCTAAAGGGTTTACAATCTAAAAACAGCACAGGAGAACAACAAAAGAAGGGAAGGGAGAGAGAGGTATGAGTAAATGGGGGAAGAGTAGACTGTTATTAACTGTTCTAAGTAGTGTTTAAGTCCCTATCACAGTGCCAGGAAAGGACATTTCATCATCCTGTTCTCATGTTGCTGGAAATTATCAGAACTTTGTTGGGTTTTAAAAAACAAAGCTGCCCTTCCGTGTTGCCACCTGCTAACTCCTCTTCCATGGTGTGCCTTGTGTTGTATGTACAGCCACACAGTCAACCTGCTGGGCAATCTGCCTCTCAAATGTCTGGATGTCTTGCTGGCCCCCAAGGTGCAGCCGGGCTCCCTTGAATACATGGGAGTCAACATGGATGCTGTCAACGTTCTGCTGGATTTCCTTGACCGGCGTCTTGACAGGGTGGGTGAAGCAGACTGTTGTCCCAGTTTCTCAGTGCTGCACAGCCACTTGCACTTCCTGTACTTCCCATGCTCTGTGTAAGACAGGTTTGCTCATCAGTCCCGCACCTGGATGTTCTGGCTCTAGCCTTCTGTGTTAAGCATCAACATCTCAGTAACTTACAACTCTCTTTAAAAACTGCTGCAATAACAATTGGCATGATAACAAGAAGCTGCAACAGCACAAGCCAAAAGATGTTATGTGAAGCATGAGTAGGGTGAAAGATGATTCACTGGTGAATGGAGGACTTCCATGATTCAATCAGTGATTTACTTTATAGAAAATTAATTGTTTCTTTGGTTGGGTGTTTGCTTGCTTTATTTGATTGGCTTGAATTTGACTAAAGGACTAATGGAAATGTAAAATGCTTCTTCGCTTTTGAGATGAGAACTGAGCTGCTAAATCAAGAAGTATTGGTGCTGATTATTTCTCTGACTTCTAGACTGTATAGCTAAAAATGATTTGGATTCCATTGTTTCACCACAGCCACTTTGTCCTGTGTTCCATATAGCCAGTATGTTTCTCCCCATTTGCCTGCCTTTTGGAATGAAACAGAACGGCTGCAGGATTCTATAGAGTCTCAGAAGGGGAGCTGCCAGAAAGAATGGCAATTAGACTACTGTCCGATGGGTGGGTGGCAACATTCTCTACAGAAAAATAGAGGCTCATGCAGCTCAACTCAAATGGTCCCAGGCCTCATACATCATGTCACAGGCAAGATGCAGAATCCCCACTTTGCTCATTACCACTGAGGTGCATACAGTGGAAATGCAGATCACTCTCAGCCACAATCAGCTGATAGGTCATTTGGAAGAAAGAGTCTGGCTTTTTGTATTAACAGTGGCACTACCCTTTATAAGATCTGTGGGACTGTGCCAGCAGGCCTGGGTGCGTGCTCATATTGTCCCCCTTGTGTCCCGACATTGTCATCCTGAATTTGTTGTTGCTGTTACTCGCGAAGTTGTGTCCGACCCATCGCAACCCCATGGACAACATTCCTCCAGGCCTTCCTGTTCTCCACCATCCCCTGGAGTCTACCTAAGCTCACACCAACTGCTTCAGTGACTCCATCCAGCCACCTCATTCTCTGCCGTCCCCTTCTTCTTTTGCCATCAGAGTCTTCTCCAGGGAGTCCTTCCTTCTCATTAGGTGGCCAAAGTATTTGAGTTTCATCTTCAGTATCTGGCATTCTAAAGAGCAGTCAGGGTTGATCTCCTCTAGGACTGACCGGTTTGATCACCTTGCAGTCCAAGGGACTTGCAGGAGTCTCCTCCAGCACTACAATTCAAAGGCCTCAGTCCTTCGGCGCTCAGCCTTCCTTATGGTCGAGCTTTCACAGCCATACATTGCAACTGGGAAAACCATAGCCTTGACTATACGCACTTTTGTTGGAAGGGTGATGTCTCTGCTTTTTAGTATGCTGTCTAGATTTGTCATAGCTTTCCTCCCCAGGAGCAAGTGTCTTTTAATTTCTTGGCTGCAGTCCCCATCTGTGGTGATCTTGGAGCCCAGGAAAATAAAATCTGTCACTACCTCCATTTCTTCCCCATCTATTTGCCTGGAAGTGAAAGGACCGGATGCCATGATCTTAGTTTTCTTAATGTTGAGTGTCAAGCCAACTTTCGCACTCTCTTCCATCACCTGCATCAAGAGGCTCTTTAGTTCCTCTTCACTTTCTGCCATGAGAGTGGTATCATCTGCATATCTGAGATTGTTGATATTTTTCCCAGCAATCTTAATTCCAACTGGTGATTCATCTAGCCCCGCCTTTCTCATTATGTGCTCCACATATAAGTTAAATAGACAGGGCGACAGTATGCAGCCTTGCCGAACTCCTTTCTCAATTTTGAACCAATCAGTGGTTCCGTGTCCAGTTCTCACTGTTGCTTCTTGACCCGCATATAGGTTTCTCAAGAGACAAAGAAGATGGTCTGGTACTCCCATCTCTTTAAGAACTTGCCACAGCTTGTTGTGATTCACACAATCAAAGGCTTTAGCATAGTCAATGAAACAGAAGTAGATATTTTTCTGGAACTCCCTAGCTTTCTCCATGGTCCAGCATATGTTGGCAATTTGATCTCTAGTTCTCTCCCTCTTCGAAATCCTGCCTGTACTTCTGGTAGTTCTCGGTCCACATACTGCTGGAGCCTAGCTTGTAGGATTTTGAGCATAACTTTGCTAGTGTGTGAAATGAGTGCAATGGTGCAGTAGTTTGAACATTCTTTGGCATTGCCCTTCTTTGGGATCGAAATGTAAACTGATCTTTTCCAATCCTGTGGCCACTGTTGAGTTTTCCAAATTTGCTGGCATATTGAGCGTAGCACATTTACTGCATCATCTTTTAAGATTTTGAATAGCTATTCCTGAATACTCCCTTGCTTCTGCCTGTAGTAAGTGTGAGTGCAAGTCAGTAATAAACATATTGATGGCAGGTCATGACATATTCTATACCGGATCTTACAGGGTAAAAGATGGGGAACATTTCACGGAAAAATGCCATTTTTGGTGGCAACTCCAAGTTCTTTTAACATAGAATTTCACCCTGAGAAAAGGAAAAAAACATACTTGTATACGTAGGGAGTTTACTGTACATAATATGGCATAGCCTATAGCTTTTATTGGCCCCATTTCAGAGAACTGGAACTAGCATGCTTGGTTACTTTACTCCCACAGGTATTTTCATTCATGAGAGACAATATTTGCATTTGTGTGATTATGACCCCACTTCTTGTGGACTCTTCTGCAGGGTCATAAACTTAAGGAAAGTTTAACTCCTGTGCTGAACTTGCTGACTGAGAGTGCCCGGGCCCATCGTCAGACAAGGAAATTCCTTAAAGCTAAGGTACTGTATTTTAGTCAAGTAGCATTCATAAAGTAAAGCTTCCATTAAGCCAGCAAGTGCCACCTTTTTCATCAGTCCAGAGAGATGTAGAAATGCTGTGACACTGTCTCTCAGAGATGGTGCGATGTTGTGAAATGGTATCTTTGGACATAGGAAAATGTTTTTTATTGTGTCCTGCGGGAGGCATTTACCATCCCCTGTATTTTCTGGATCCTCTTACACATAGAGTTTCCATACAATATTTAATGCAGAGAGGGAGGTGCTCAAGAAGCAAAGCATGTGGTCAGAAAGGAAAAGGCACTGTGGCTAGTGAGCTCTGGTGCCAGCTGATTAACAGCTGTGGAAAATTCTGCCTAAACCTGCATGTATTATTCACATATCAATTGCTTCCAGTTTAAGGGCATGAGTTTAGTGGCTTGCAGCCTTTAATGTGCTGCTGCTTGGCATTTTGCAGTTTGTCTGGAGGAGTGGATTGGTTTGTAATGAATACTGAACCAAAATGGATGGCAGTCAACAATGTGAATTGGGAAAACAGTGGCTTTGCTTGACCTCTGCAAAATCCATTTTCTACCCTATCCTGAAGGTTCCTGGGTCTCACTCCCTGTGCCTGTGGGTGTAGCAGGGAACCTGGGCATCTCTATCTACCTACACTGTACAGAGAGATGCAAAACACTAGCCTGGTCAGCATTACGGCTCTTGTAGGACTCAAGCATAACACTCCTTGTGGCTCTTTTCTCAGCTGCTCTTTATCCCGTGCAGTTGCTCCAAAACTACAGAGCCTGTTGCAGAAACACGGGATCCTGCCTGAGCGCTGATTCACTCAACCATTCAAGAAACAAACATTGCTGCTTCTGCATGGAGCAAGATTCATGGTGATGGCTTTGCTGTCTGCACACCACTGCTGTTTACTGCTTCTGCTGTAGTGCAGCACATTTGTGTTTTGTGCTTGCATTTGTGACATTATTAGTCACTCACCCAAGGGCCTTTCCACATCCTCAGCTTTCCATGCGCATTTGTGACCCATTTGCTGCCTAGTTTGCAGACGGTTTCACATCATGAAGATGCTGCATTTTCTCAGTATTCAGAGGGCTATAATGGGGAAACCACCATTCTCTCCCCTCCTTAAATGCAATTTTTATTTCCATTGTGATTGCTATATGGAATATAGTTGTGCGGGTGCTGTGTATGACAACTGGATATTTTTGGTGACATCAGTGGTCAACATGAGCCTCTCCACATGTCCACATTGTTTGTGAAGCTTTTTTAAAAACATCTTCAGAATTTCTGTACTCTCCTGTTGTACATTCCAGTGTGTGTCTCTGTTGAGGAGTGACAATTGTCACAGTGACAGTTTGCACAGCTATGTTCCTTTGAAGCATTTGTACAGTATTTGCAGGGCCTTAGAAAAGCCAGCTTAATAAGAACTTTTAACACATCTCTGCCCTTTCAATGGGTTCACAGGTACTCCCTCCACTGCGGGACGTGAAAAATAGACCAGAGGTGGGGAACTTGCTGAGAAATAAACTCGTGCGCCTCATGACTCATATTGACACAGATGTGAAGCACTGTGCAGCCGAGTTCCTCTTTGTGCTCTGCAAGGAGAGCGGTGGGTGCCCATCCTTTCTCTTGTGTGCGTAGTGCAGGTTGCCTCATGATGATCCGTGTTGTCTGTCTGCAAAAGGCATCAGGTGAATAGTCTGTTTGCCTAGCATTAGAACTGCTGTAGGATCCCTGGAGTCCGGGTGGGCAGGCCTGGTATGTTTTGACAGTGGCTCAGCTAGTAAGAGCTGATGCAAATCGAGAAGTCATGAGTCATCGGCAAAGTTATATTCCCTGATTCAGAGGGGAATGCAACAAATGCAGATAAGGCACCTGAGATCTTCACTGTTGGTGTTCGTAGAAAAAAAAAAGACAGAGGAAAATACAGACCCAGGCACAGTGGAGCTCACATATTCTCTGTGATCTGTCACAGCTAACTTACCACTTGTCTTTATGAAGCTTTATGACCATGAGGGCTGTTGGTCAGGTTTTGCATTCCCAGAGTGGGATGAGTGTCTGTCTCTCTCCTAATACATGCATCAGCCTGTATCTATCTGTACAACCATTTTTCGTGACATTTCACACACTCGCTGAAGGAAAACTTAATACAAGAAAGGCCTGAAGAGGCAGAGAATGAAACTCTGTTGACTTTCGATTTCCTCCAGAGTCTGAGCTGAACTCTCTTCCTGGTCTTCTGCTCAGACACAAGACACTCTGCAATATCTGGATAGGGAATTCATGGACAGCCTAAGTAGCCGTGTACACCTGCCCAAACCTAAGGGCATCTACAGAGGCCCTTCTCCAAAAGAAGGCAGGTGGCCATGAGGAGAAGGGCCTTCTCAGCAGTAGCTCCCTGATTATGGCATCAGCTCTGCAGGGAGGTGCGCCTGGCACTGACCCTTCACACCTTTCAGCGCCAGGTTAAAACCTTTTTATTTGCCTGTCATTTTAATTGTGGAGCAGTAGGTCCTTTATACACTGGTTTTTATATGATGATTGGTCCCTGTGGATCAGTTGTTTTTGTTTTGATTATTACTTAGTTTGAGTTATGAGATTACTGTATTTTTTAAAATTATGACTTTTATGTATATGCTGCTTTTATGCTTTAATTGATGTACATCATTCTGAGAGTGTTCACCAAAGAACAGCTTATTTAAAAAAAAAACTAAACAAACGTATGCATCCCCACTTTTTCCATTGCTTGCTGCACTCCCCACAGAGGTTCCTGCTCCTGGTGTCGAAGAGAGTGTCCCAAGGCTGGTACTAGTGACCTCTTTCCATCCTCTTTCTGCATTTCCCTCAGTACTTAAGAGCAATCAGCAGAAATGTGGAAGCTACCTGAATTTCTGCACCTCCACCCTCCTTCACCCCTAGCAAATTAGACCTGACTGTTTACTTCCAGGGTAGGGAAGGGAAGTTGGTAGAGAAGAAAGTGCCTCTCTGCCCCATCACGTATGACTGAGTGGTCTGCAAGGATCTGCTTCCTTAAAAGTGGCTCTGAAAAGCCAGCAGCAGCTCATTCAGATGTCTTCTTCAGCTGTTGCTGTAGCAGCAGGAGAATACGAACCCTTTGGTCTTTATTTGTTTCAACAGTGGCACGGTTTGTGAAGTACACTGGATACGGAAATGCCGCTGGGCTTCTGGCAGCTCGAGGCCTCATGGCTGGAGGGCGGACAGAAGGAGAATACTCTGAGGATGAAGACACTGACACAGAGGAATACAAAGAAGCAAAACCCAAGTACGGACTTATTCATACGCCTTGCTTCACTTGGGGTTATCTTTCCTGCTACTTTAACATGGCACTTTTCTTTCTATGCCACATGTGGGCTTCCTCTGTCTTTCCTGGGTTATCCCATGGCTCATTTTCCTTAAGGGTGTTTGTTGTTGCTTTGGTGTATTTCTTCATCTCTGTAAGTTTAATGCTCTGGTTACCTGTTTCTGTGTCTAATGGCATCAGCCATTACTTGCTAGCCTGCTTTCTGAAAGGGGAATTTGGCATCTGTCCAGACCAGCGATTTTTCTTTGAATCTTCTATAGACAATCACACAGAAAAGTGGCACCTTTGGATCTGTGTTTCATTCTTTGACACTGTTCCATCTCTGATTGAGAGTATAAAGCTTGCATGTTATTGAAGAGGTACTGACTTCCTCACAGGTGGTCTGGATAATTCTTTCCTGTTTTCTGTTTACTATCCTTCCTTCCTTATCAGGAGATTCTCTTCCCCGCATCCGCCACTGCAAATATACTGATTTTTTTGTCAATTCACTTGCATAGGCATCCTGCAGATTTCCTTAGCTAATTACTTTTTATCGGCAAACATTTCACAAATGCATTTCACACTTCTCAACTCACATCTTCCTCCCTATTTCTTCTGTACATTTATTGTAATATTTGTGAGTGCAAATAGACAAAAATGGGTTAAAAGAAAATGTGGCACGAGTGCTGTTCTAGACATATGTTTGGGAGAGAGACACAAAAGTGCCTTTGCCTTCCATCTTGCTGTCATTAGAGTCTTCTGCCACCTGCATTAAAAACCACTCTACATAGGAAAACAAAAATCCTCATGCATACATTGATGAGATCACTATTTCTGCTGTGAAATCTCCTGTGGCATTTTCCTTTTCTTATTATTGGGGAAATTGGATTCTGTGATGTCCAGAGAGTATACTGGTTGAAGGATGACGACTACATCCTTGGTGAATACAAGTCAGATCTGTTAATTCAGCCCCTGTTATTAGTATATCCTGTGTTTAAATTAACATGTTTCTGCCTTTTCTCTGTATGTTTTCTTTTGATGTATTTATATAGCATTAACCCTATAACTGGACGTGTGGAAGAGAAACTTCCTAACCCAATGGAAGGGATGACAGATGAGCAAAAAGAGGTTGAAGCAATGAAACTGGTGAACATGTTTGACAAACTCTCCAGGTATCACATTTTCTTGAAACAGGATGGTTGTTGGAAGAGCAAAATAAAACAAGTCATTTATTTAAAAAATCTGAAATTCCAACTAATGGATGGGTTGCCATGCTGTGTGAACCCACAATGGGTTGTTGTGTCATGCAAATCCAGACCAATTTCCACATAGTGGCTTGTGTGTAGGCGCCAAGGCACCCCAACAACCCATGAGTTGCTGGAGGGATTGCTGTAACCATGCTAGGTTGTTATGATGTTCAGTGCTGGATATCCAGTCCCTTCATGGATACAGGGATTGGGCTAGCAGGCTCTTTAGCAAGAGGCAAAACCCCATATCCCCTATCATGGGACTGCTGGATGAGTGCCAGCTGCCCCTAAATGCCCAAGAGATGAGTACAAAACAGCTCCTAGTAGGGTGGGGGATAACTCCTTCCTTCCATGGTATTCCCTGGAATGCCCATGGTAGGACTGAGGAGGGGGCCAGCAAGCCACAGTGAACCCAATCATCTGTCAGCACATCACCGGATGCTCACACACCAACCAACCCATGTGGCATTACCTCTGCAGTCACTGAATGGAAATGCAATGGAACTAGGTTCTTCAACGAGTCTGAGGGGTTAGGTCCTGCCCTGCTGTTGTGACTTCAGCAAGTTTATTCAAGGCCAGGTGGCTGTAATGTAGATTACTCAATAAATTATTTCAAGTTATCTAGCTCCACTGGATTTCCAGAATTTAGTGTCAGCAGAGCTTAAGTCATAGTCATCAAAACATGGCTGCTGAAATGGGTTGCAAGTTCCCAGATCTCTTTTTAACATTTCAAAAGTTTTGTACGAGCTAAGGTGTTAGAAGATAAATAGGTATGCCTGATGGCCAGACTTAGTTAAGAACAAGGTGGTGGTGACTGGTGGTTAAACACAAATGCATATTCCCTGATCCTTAAACTACTTGAATTACAAGTGCATTCGTAGCCATTATTCTGCTGCCCATTCCATCAACATTTTTTTATATAACGTTGTTAGTCGCGAAGTCGTGTCCAATCCATCGCGACCCCATGGACAACATTCCCCCAGGCCTTCCTGTCCTCCACCATCCCCCAGAGTCCACTTAACCTCACACCGACTGCTTCAGTGACTCCATCTAGCCACCTCATCCTCTGCCATCCCCTTCTTCTTTTGCCATCAGTTGTTCCCAGCATTAAGCTCTTCTCCAGGCAGTCCTCCTTCCTTCTCATTAGGTGGCCAAAGTATTTGAGTTTCATCTTCAGTATCTGGCCTTCTAAAGAGCAGTCAGGGTTGATCTCCTCTAGGACTGACTGGTTTGATCGCCTTGCAGTCCAAGAGACTCACAGGAGTCTCCTCCAGCACCACAATTCAAAGGTCTCAATTCTTTGGTGCTCAGCCTTCCTTATGTTCCAACTTTCACAGCCATACATTAAGAACTAGAAGTATATAAAATAGCAACGAAGATTCCTAGAATCCAGTGAGAGTGGGAAAGGAGCTCTAAGCTCAGAGTTGTAGGTGATGGCTGCTTTGTAGTAGTGAATGAACATGTTGTATAAACAGGGCAGGGGGAAATATAAAGAACAAGGTCAGTGGAATTGTATTTTGATAATTGGGGTAAATAACTCAGGATTATCCTTTAAGTTGTTAGCAACTGCTATGAGATTAGAATGCAAGGTAGAAATTGTAAGGGAAAAAACTCGGGGAACCCAAAGCTATAGAACCCCTTTTGTAAAAATCTGCACAATATTTATCCACCACAAGCATTTGAGTGCTTCTGCCTCCTCACCATTTATCCTACAGTCTCTGTAGTGAGTGATATCTTCAGACATCTGCTGTGGCTTGCAGACAGATGGCAACTGATGCCACAAGTTCTGCTTCCCAGCAGGCAGGCATGCCATTCTATAGTAGTTGCTCATGCATCATTTAGGAGAAGTGCAGGCAGGAGTCCAGGAACTATTTGAAAAGTTGAAAAGGCATCTTGGTGGGCAGGAAAAAAGGGGCAGCAGAGAGCCTGTTCAATGCAGATGACCCATGTTTTCACTGTGTATTAGACAGACAGCAATGCTAGCCTGCATCATCACTTTCCCTTGCTATTGAGGTGACCTAATCAGAAAGACTTCCAAAGACATTTGCTATTTAGATTGGCAAGAAAAATTTTTTACAGAACTCGCTTCCTGAGTTTCCAGTGCTAATTCTAGTATTACTTTGGCTTTGTGATCAAACCATATTTTTCATAAGAACACATCCCTATTCTTTAAAAATGTGTTTGCCAGGAAGAACTGAGGGTTAGCATATGCAGCTTAGCAATGATGCTCCTTTAACTAACAGTGCACGCAAAATAAGGGCTGCACCACACAGCAGACGGAAGAGAAAGCAAAAGCAATCGTGTGTGTTGTTATGGTGGTTGCTTTGTTGTTTGTTTGTTTTGTTTTCTTGTAAGCCTTCCAGAGACTTTTAGTATTGGGACAGCATATAAAAACTTTAAATAAATGAATGACTGAATAAATTGGTGTAGTATGGGTTTATTAATGAGTTGGTTTCCAAATTTCCTCCTGTTTCAAACATAATGTGCTTTTTGTCAGGTGATATGACTCAGAATATACATTCAGTTTAATCAGAATATAGCAAATCTGCTTATTTGAAAGGTCTGTGTGGGTTTCTGAGCATGAAAGTCTGATTTCTAGACACGTGTGGACCTTCTAGCCTCTCAAAATCTTTAATGGCACTCTCAGACTAGACAGTTTTCCATTTACTTTGGAGTAGAGTGTAAGAGATTAAGCAATCTGCAATCAGGTTGAATTCATTTTATGTTGTTCAATAGTTTTGCCTTGAAGTTATACTTGAAATACGTTGAGCAGTTTAGTAGAGCAACACCTGTCCAAGGACAGAAGGCAATCCACAGCAGTGTCAGTTTGCATATTCTGGATGTGAGCAGAACTAGTGCCACCACATGCAGTATCAGCCAATTTGAGGGTGATATTTTCCTGCTTGTGTGTACTTAGTACTGGATTCAAAGTGGAGAATTCACTAACCTTGACCATAGGGCTACCCTTGATGGTGATTTAAGGAGCTCCTTTTAGAGAACCCACAAAACACTGCCATTTTTCCTTCTTTCCATTGCAGACAACAGATCATCCAACCCATGGGAATGGGTCCAGATGGCAATCTAACCTCTCTGGAAGATGCTGTTCATCAGATAGCTGAAGAGAGGTTATCATCCGACTCCGACTTGGAATTGGACTGAGCTAAGCTCTCCTAGTCCTTAAAAACCTATGGACCCTCTACTCTCCTTCCATCACAGATGCTGTTTTGGAAGATCAGTCCAATCATGGGCTGGATCCCCATGCCTAGACTGGTATATCTGTTTTTTCTCTAGCCATGTAACAGTTCTGCCCTTGAGAACTTTTTACAGCTTGGTTTTTTCCTGCTCTCATTTCCCCTCAGTCTCTAAGTCTTGCATTCTTGATGTTTTCCAAGGACTTTCCAGATATTTTGAAGTTTGGAAAGGAGGGAGAGGGGAGGGCAATCTCTCATTGTATCAAGACATTTTAGTAGCACATGGAATGCAGTGAGTACTTGTGTTCAACTAGTTGTATGGGAAGAATGTGTGCTGTGTGCACATGTGTGTGTTTGCATTGGGGATATGTGCCAAGCACATAATGTAGCAACCATACAGTGTGGTGCTGTTTATAAAACAAATGGATATTCTAAGCAAATATGACTCTGTACTTGCAGATATTGACTGGAAAATGTTACAGAAATGTATGAATAAAGAGAAACCTGCTTTTTTAACATGTTATAATGTACTGTTGGAGACACATAGATGGAATGTGGGTGAAGATCAAACATTCTGGGCAATTCCCTTTAAGACACATTATGGATGCATGCAAATGTTGCAGGTAAGGAAAAATGCATTGTTGAAATAGTAGGTATAGTCGTGACAGGTGTCACAAAATGTGTTGGGATGGGGGGATGTGTGAGAAATGGATACATCCTTTGCTCACACTGATTTACTTGTTGATATTTTCAGATAACCTGGGGCTCTGATCCCTACATAACTGTGCCGTGTTTCTCATTCTGCCAGGTTTAGTTTTCTGAACAAACAATGCTCTTTGCACTCTCCAGACATAAGACAGTCATCAATTGTTTCACTGTACTCTTAACTGTACCTGCTTCAGTTCCCATATTCCAATAGCATTGTGCAGTCACAGGTTGCTGTGAGGCACCTTCATCCTTCACCTCGATTTCAGACTTTTTTGTTAAAAAAAATCACATTTCCCACCTTGTTGCCACTTTGCCAATCATTTATGAACTTAGCACAAATGTAAATGAAAGGTTTTCCACTAGAATAAAAGAAACAAATGAGAATGTCTGTTTATCTGTGATTCTTTGGATTTTTATCTCCAAACAATTAGAAACAGAAAGATATTTCCAGGAGATAGCCAAGCCAAACTGGGATGACTCAGCAGCTTTATGCTAAAAATAGTATTCATGTGAATAAGCTATGAGTGAAATTTTCTGTACCTGCGATAAAACTAAATCCCAGTGAAGGGATTATTGTTTATATGGGTCAGTCTGTGGTGAATGAATGTGTGGGGATCCTCCCCAGTTCATGGGTTTGGACACTGATCATCCAGCTAGTTCAATGTTTTTGTTGATACTGTATATTTTAAAATGTTAGAAATTTTGTGTTGTTTCCCAGAAACCTTAACCTTGGGTATAATTATGGCTGGTCTGCCTGTATGATCTATGCCTTCTATATAATACAGGTAAAACCTTACAAATGATTATTTACATGTTTTTCAATACAGTTTGTCTGAACATAAAGGAGTCTTGCTGCTACAGACCAAAAGGCCAAACAGACTAGTTTCCAGTTCCTCCAGTGAACAGCCAGGTGCTTCTAGAAAGCCCACATTTAGAACACTCCCTGGTGTTGTTCCCCAGCAAATGGCATGCAGGGGCATTGGACCTCTTAATCTGATGGTTCCTAATCACTAGTGGAATTTTGTCCTCCATGTCAGTTTTTCAGGGTGCAATCCTATGCATGTTTTGACCAAAACATTTTTAGCTAAACTGAATTATAGGACATTTGTAAGTCTTAATATTCCTCAGATTGTGCCCTAAGCCAGAGAGGCATTGGTGAAAGTATTGGTCTAGCTTAAAAGGACTTCTAAAGAAATCTCTTCAGTGGATTGATGATTCAAATGTCTCTTTTGAATGGCTTGCCCTAGATTCAAGAGCTTTCCATCCAATATTTGAATCACACATTCAGATAAACAAATCTGTTAATTGAAATGAGCAAATAATCTTTTTGCAAAAACTACCTCACTGCAAGTACAGCTTTAGAGATACTTTGAAAAAATCCAGCCTCTGAGGATGGATAATACTTGGAAAAAATTAGCAGAGTTCTCCCAACTGGGGGAAATTTGGCAGAACTTCTGAGAGCAGAAGGGCCAGACTTACGTGGCTATAATCCTGGACTTATGTGACTATTACTCAGTCACTATGACTATAGGCACAAGATTTATACATTAACTTTTGGTAATACATGTTTCACATGCCTTAAAGGGGTAAGATTGCATCATGAAAGCTTTGCCATCTACATTCATTGATCCTGCATCTGTTATCACAAAAATGTTTTCTTTGTGCTCTGACACAGTGAGGTACTATATGCATGCTTGGGTACTAGATACTTGGGTAGTAGTCAGATGTTCAGCACAAGTACCAGCAGTTTTGTTCAGTCTATTTTCCATTATCCTTCCTGCCAAAGAGATCAATGCTAATCAAATTTCCATATGAGCTTCAAGTTGGATTGGAGCCATGGAATTTCCCATAGTATATCAAACAGAAAGACAGTATATGTCAGTCACTCATATAAAATTTCAATGATCGAACATTTATTGCTTTAAGACAGGGTTATCACACGTTAGCTCAAGCTCCAAAAAGCCAGGGATTTCGAAACTTAAACTGATGCCTCAACAAACACGTTCCATGATCACTAATGATGTTGTATGATGTCACAAGTCATGCTCACTTACAACTTACCCACCGTACAACCACATTTTTCCTGGGTCCTTCAAGTCTAAACGGAGATGAGTGGGATAGAGTGCTGGAACCAGCAAAGATACTTCACATTGTCCTGGTCCTTAACCTTGGATATAGCTTCATGATATATCTGGACCTTGCTTTATTGCTGGAAGCATGCCCATGACCCATGCCCATTTGCTTGTAAGCAAACACAATTTGTGACACTGCACAGCAGCCTTACTAATTAGGAAGGCATGCCTATTAAGGCATGAGCCTAAGCTTTCAATATCCTGGTTTGGTAGCTCTTCAGCCAACATGAGGTAACTGTTGCTCTGGTCTTAAACTGGCAGATTTTCTGATTATTGGAATTTCTTTGGTTTTTAAAAAGGAAATGTGTTATTACAGTATACTGAAAGAAAAATCTGAGGACAACTGAACATGCCCAATATAACTTTGCTGGCAGTTGCTGCCACAGAATCATATCTAAGGAAGTACTCACACCTTCACCAAGTCTCCAGCTCTCACCAGTTCGCATCTGCAGAAAACACCTACCACTTGCTCCTGAAAGAAACCGGGAATAAGCAAAAATGCTAGTTTCTGGAACAGGACGGATCTGTAGAGCTCACTTAGGGGAGCTCTGCTGAGCTGCCCCAATCCAGAATTGGTTTTCCACTTATTTTGGGGCTTCCTCTAGGAAACATTAAATCACTGCAATACGAATGTTGGGCCCCACTCGCTCAATGAACATGGTATGGTACAACTGCCCCACTGGATACCCTATGTAGGCTTTCATGGGGCAGGAAAATCTTCATTGTTTTTTTAACTGTTGCTCAGAATTTCACCAAACCAATGAAAGGCACATCTCAACAAGCCTGAAAAAAGTAGTAGTTTTTCCTAGAATTTAAAAATAAAACATTTTGAACTTGACTAAAAAGTACCAATGTGTCAATTTCCAGCACTTTTTAACTTTGTGGTCATTATTACTGGATTACTTTGAAATTGGGCATGATTGTAGATATGAGCAGGTAGGTACAGATGCCATGTTTCAAGTTATTAGCTCTACAGATGTCATTTTTAGAAGCAGCAAATTTTTGAGAGGAACCATTTGTGTAATGCACCTTAACTAAAAGGGAACTCTTGTACCTCTTTAATGTGATATACAGAAAATAACCCTATAATGTGTAGGATATAGTTGTGCTTTGCAGTTTGTAATATAGCTTAATTACCGTCATAGTATGTAAACAAGGATATTGAATAGATGGTTGAAAGGTGATTTTATATTAATGGGTATTGCTGCTAGAAGATTTTTTTTTCCAAATTCAAACAGCAACTATTTCACTGTTAATTCCATGGGAACAGGTTCTTGCCAGAAATCTGGATTTACAGACATCCTATCTTCCAGCCCACTACAAATTAATATACATCACATTTTTCTGAGAGTCCCTGCTTGTAGGTTCATCTTCACAGCAACTGCTGCAGCATCTAGGACTCAACAGTCAGACTTACCTCTCTTTTTATGCAATTTGTAATATACATTTGACTTTAAGTCCTTTCACAGATGGTGACAACACTGGGAAATTAAACATGAAGGTATGATGAAATTATATTCCAGCTAAGGCTCCTTGTGAAACACCATGAAGATCCAAGTGGAAAAAAATAGAAATGGGAGACAAAGTCTTCGATGGCCTTTAACGGGAGAGAGCAGCAATGCAGAACACTGTTACTTCACCATGGCCTATCTTTATGCAAGTCAGGTTGCAACCTATCATTTGATCCCCATTTTCCAAGAGTGTTGAGAACAAGTCCTTCTCCAATGCTTGAAAGACACATGTGATTAAAGTGGCTCTTTGAATAAGTCTTAGTTCTTCTGATCTATGAGGTACTACCAAGAGGAGCAGCATATTTCCTACAGACCTTTTGTACCATGACCTTCGCCCAAGATGAAATGTATTACTCTAAGGAGGCAAACTTCTTTTCCAACAGTAGAGGTCAGACATCCTTTTTGTTTTTTGCATCCAGCTAAAAATACAAACACACACATTGTTTGTCTTTGAAGCTTGTTCATTCCAAAGTCCATCAGTTCAGCAGCTGATAGTGAACAAGGTCAAAAGGCAAAAGCATAGTGAAGGAAGAGTTGATGGCATATAAGGTTAAATGAAAACATTACTGTTGCTTTGTAAGAATATCGGCACATCAGAAAAAATAACTGACTCTATCAACACTCAGTCCGATTGCTAAATGAGCCTAGTAAGAACAGATGATTCATCCTCACTACAGTTTGCATCATGTCAGACAAAGGAGAATAGAAGAATATGCCTGTGGTATGCCTCCTTGGTGCAACCTCTCCCTCAAGGCACAAGACTGATTTTCTTACAGCTGTTAATGACATTTATGTAACGAAAAACAGCTGGCCTGCCACCATTTGTCGCTTCAATTTCTCTTTTTCACAAGAGAAAAACTGCTTCATAAGTACAGCAATTGAATCTTTTCACCTAATGCTAGAGCATGATTTTCCATCAGGTCTGTCTTACTTAGTGATAACCTGCATCAAATGTTTGTGCAGTTATACTGCTTTAACTTGCTGATAGTCTGTGACTTATAGGGTTTCTCTTCATACATAAAGGAAAATGAAACTCCTGTGCCTCTGGATCATAAATACCTGAGGCTCATTCCTTACTTTGTATGGCCTTTTCACTTTTTCATTTCAAACTAGTTAATACTGTTAGACAGTCTGTATTAGAAAATGCATCTGGATCTAAAGCTGGAAGCGTTTCACTTGTTCCAAAGAAAACCCTCCATGAAGGCAAAAAGTGGCAGCACAGAATGCAAATGCATGAGTTACCATGCAGATTTATATTATGGCATACGTGGACAGTTTCTTTTCTGCATTCACAGTCGTAACATGATATGCCAAGTTCTCAATTCTAGATCTTCAGAACTGAATCTGGAATCATTTGAACATTAAATAAATCGCATAATAGGCAGACTTCAAAGACAAATTCCTGGATTCTTCTGAGATGAAATCTATGAACAGGATCCAGTGGGGCATTTTATGCCTTCACCAGGTCTCCTACTCTGCCACGCAATGGCAATATAGGTCCACTGGGGGCTCCATTGGGGGCAACTTGGAATGAGCAGGAATGGTTGTTTCTGCAAGGAAGCAGGTCGGCAGAACTTGCATAAGGGAGTGCCACTCCCCTGCCCCTTCCAGAAATAAGTCTTCGGACTTGCCTCCGAGGGTACTCAATTGCTGCTCCCCAAGTGGCAGAACTGATGCTTGCAGAACAGAATTCGCTACATGCAGGCCACAACCAGTGGCCAGCTGCACTTGGAGATGGACTGCACTGGATTCTGCCCTTGATCGTTAACATTGATAATGAATGTAAAATTGAACATTGGGATGTACAGATTCGTGTATAAAAGCAGTTATGTAGACCATGATCGTTAAGTTTGTTCTTCACTGCAGTTTGTGCTGGCTTACTTATTAGAGATTTTGCAACAGGAATGAAAAGTCACGAGAGCAAGGCAAGGGTTTCAATTCAATTCAATACCTTTTCTTTTTCTTTCTTGATTAATTCTTCCAACTCCTCCTTCCAGCCCAACAGTTCCACCACTTTTTTCACTCCTCTGATGACATCTCCCAGCTCAGCCACATCACTGTGCTGTGGCTGATATGCAAATGGCCCCACCAAATCTCGATTGATCAGGACACGTGGAACAGAGGCACGAACTGCTCCTGCCAGACTAGCAAAGGGCTCCACCTAAAATCGAAAGACAAGGGAAAAAAGAAAAAGGCTGCATCTGTCCTAAAGCAACATTCTTCTTATCTGGGGAATCAGATATGCTGATCTATCAATTTTGATCCCTACACGACATGCAAGTTGGTGGCTTCAGCCTGCACTGGGGCCCAACCAGCTGACAAAGTTACTGATGGAGACAACTAGGTGACTAGGCCAGGCACTACACGTACAGAGTAAAAACTACTTAGATTTCCAGTATTTCTGGTTTTGTGCAAAATAGCACTTGGCTGGATCTCCTTTATTTCTATTGTACATGATTTCTGTTATGTGATTTCTACAATATACATCTTTGTCATCTCTGCTTGTCTGAACTCTTCAGAATCTCTTCATATTTTTAAATTATCAGATAACCAGAACCTCTTCTTAAATTTGACCAGGTTATGCTTCCATGTTATAAATCCAAATTATGCACCCAAGCTATAAAATTATGTGTATGTCTTTCCTTTTGGATCCTCCTGTTTACTCTCCACTTTTCATAGTCCCCAAACCAATTTGTCTCGATAGCCCACTTATTGTCTTCCCACGTTCATGAAACCCAGACCTCAAGGGAGGTTCCGATGACAAAAAGCAGGTCTGCCATGGGAAAATCTGTCATATGCAGGAAGAACCGACGAGGAAGCTCCTCTCCAAAGAACACAATGTCAGGCTTGACAATTCCAGTGCACACAGGGCATTTGGGGATCTTGTCAGCCATCACATCCACCTAAAATGAAATCACACATACCAAGATAGAAGCCCCTGGTAGGGAGCACAAGCCACAGTCTGACATTGCATCACCCAACGGACGCTTTCCTTAAGTATTATTATACACACCAGGCTGCAACAAACATTGCCAAATGCAGTGCTATGAGCCCCATAAAACAATTGTGGTGCAGAAGAGCAAGCTGAGATTCCCTTGGAAGTGGCTTCTGATCTTTCCTGAATGGTATGTCTGCAGTGCTGCCACTCACCCTGAAATCCTCACCAGGATACGATCTTTGACAGACAGTACATGTAGCAGAAGCAAATGTGCCATGGGCTTCAACCAATTTATCAGGAGGAATCCCAGCAACTAGAAGAGAAGCACATCAGAAAAGGCAGAAATATCAGTTTAGTCAACACTGCCACCAATGCAAGGTTCGGAAAATGGATGATACTCTCCTACCACGCCAAATCTCATTAATACAGTTGGACATTACTCCCAACTTGCATTTTCTGTTAGGGCAAAACTGGGGGTTACCTCTTTCCAGTCCATCAATGTTCTGTGTATACAAGCGCAGAAGGAGCCCTTTGTCAAGCAGAAGTCGAAGGAAGTAGTGCGCATAGTTGGGCCTGTAATTGCCAGGGTATAACTCCTTAGCTAACATAAAAAAGGGTTTAGGGTTGTGGAAAAAGTAGTTCAGTTCAAAGATGGCTTCTGGGTAGGGAATATTATACTGCTGGAGGTTACTGTAGAGCCCACTCCCAGGGGACCTGCAGAGAGAAATAAAACTTGGCTGAATGGTATAGCCAGAAACGAAACCAGTGCAAGGTATCTGCTGGCATGATCAACTTCTTGGAGGTGGGGTGTTTGAATGTGCTGTGACTCTTTCTGAAGTGACTTTTCACAAAGGAACATACAGACAAGAATAGAACTTAGAGCACTTCATCCCATCTGAGTAAGGAAAATATTAATTGGGTTAAGAAGACCTACCACCCAAATGGCTAATCATGTTCAGAACCATTTGTATATTGGGGGTTGCAGGCTATACCTTTCAACAAGATACTGTTAAGATACTGCTAAGAAACAAGCAGGAATATATAACCTTTTTGGCCATGAGGGCCACATTTGATACTAGACTGGGGACTGCACACACAGACACATCCAGGATCCTGATACAAACTGCTCTTTCCTTGCTGGTAGGAGTAATGGAGGGAGTGGAGAGCCTTCCTTCTCCACCCCATGGGGAGAGCATGTGGCCTGCAGGCTATGCACCTGTGCTTTAAAGGATGTGGAAAAGGAAAAGCTGAATTATGACACTGTCATCAGAGAATGGCAAAGAGTGGTAGTTGATGGGCTTGCCTGGTAAGATAATGCACACAAGATAAGGAGTGATTTGATTTGATACATTTTCAGGTTAGTTACTAAAGTGTTTTACTGTGTCTCAGAACCAAAGAATCAAACAAGCAAATGGGCAAGCTAATAAATGATGCTTGATCAATTTCTCCAAAACATGGCTATTCCCTATCTTGGAGACATTATTAGTATGTTCAGCACAGCCCTATTTCTCAGATCAAGTTCAGGAATGTAATTTTGTCCAGGGGTCCCCTTTCAACCTCACTCACCTAGAGCGAGAGGTGTACATTTTAGAGCACTGAGGCCATTCTGCAAGCGCTCTCACTGCATTTGGCCTAGCCACCCCCGTCATCTCTCAGTCTGATGGAAATTTTTTACAAGTTCAAAGCAGATGCTAAAGTGCATGGCTCTGGCTGGCTGGCTGGGTGTTGGTGTCACCCCTTCCCCAAATGCCTCCTCTGACTAATTCCTAGAGTAGTTTTGCTTTTCACTGACTTAAGAGTGCAGTCCGATCCAGTTTTAGAGAGGAAAAAACCCTAAAATGTGCATTCCTTACATTCTGGCTTTCTTCTGTCTAAATCTGCAAAGGATTGCCCCTTTACTAACTTAAAAAAATCCTTTTCAAAAAATCAACAAGGCACTGAAAAAATGGCAGTAGGCACAAGCATTCATGCAATGTTTTCAGAGAGCCTGTCTCAGGCCTGAGAGGTGCAAGACTCATGACTCGCCAGCCTTCTCTTCACTGCAATGCCTGCTATTTCTGTTGCAACAGTGGGAAGAAATTTAATTGACACACCAGCTGGTGTACTTACTGCCCCATATGAAGGACAACACTGGGTAATGGAAATAGAGTTAAACAATTACAAAATGTATTGTGGCATCATCTATACACAGTGCAAGACCAGACTTTATTTCTGAGGCATCTTTTTAACTGTTTGGCAGCAAAGATGAAAGTCAAGCCAAAGGGCTCTTTTAACCATTAATCCCATGGAAACAGAGACCTGGCATGGTGCTCTGTTAGGACAGGAAGCAGTTGCATTGACAGTGGCACCCATTCCGTACAATTCTAAAAAGCACCCTAGTTCACTCTTATTGGAGGTACTCTCCTAGTCAAGGTTGCTTCTTATGTGATGTGAGCACTGCAGAGGCTGCTGAAAGTAATTCTTCTGAAGAAGTCTTCACCAGGGATCTTGGGTGGCAACATCAGTACAAACAAGGTCTGGCTAGCAGCTTGGATGTTACCTGAAATCCGGGATTCCACTGGGAGTGCTGAGTCCTGCTCCAGCCATCACCAATACTCTCCGGCATTCCTTCTTTTGGATTAATTCTGCTACATTCTTCAGGGTGAGTTTGTCTTTTCCAGTGTTGTTTCCACCTCTGCCAACTCCAAAGATTATCATCGGAGCAGTAGATAAGGAAAAGGGCCTTACTCCCATGATCCTGCTCATAACATAGTAAACATGCAATAGGTTGCAACGAACTGCATTTAAATTACTGAATTACAGGAGCTGAAAGGCATTTTCTGAAACTATATTAAGGAAACTAAGAATTGGCCTTCCAAACTAAAACAAGTTCTTCATGGGAATACCCATCCAAGAATCTGCCTGAGTGATGACTCAGATTCAGGAAAGGATCTGCAGGAGTTTTCTCAGTTTATTTCTGTTTGATCCTAGTCCTTCATGGAATCCTGGTGGTACGTGCATGTGTGGATTGTGCTTGGTATTTTGGAGCATGTTTGGTAATACGTGAAAAACAGGTTGGAGAAAGAAGAGTTGAAGCAAATAGTTTTTGTACTCAGGGAAAGAACTTTCATGAGTGGATCAGAAGTAGCAGGGATAAGTGAAATATTATTTGTGGGAACCGTTCACAATTAAAAATATTCCTAAGGACTTAAGAGTTAGGAAGAAATATGGATTAGAAGGTATGAACTTCATGCCACCTAATCTTTGCCTAACTCTCCTTATGCCTTTGGGTACATCAAAGGATTGGAAATGCAAATATTTTTTAAATGTTGCATACGTTCTTGAATCTATGGAACTAGCTGTTCATCCAGTTTATGAGTGATACACCTCTCAGTGCTATTAGCGATGATAGCTCAAAAGAGACCGCAGAGTCAATGTATCTGAATAACAAATGCAGGAGAATAGGAGATGTCCAATCACTATCATGTCCTTGCTTGTAAAGGCATCAGAATGCTAGCCTAGGTAATCTAACACAGTAATCAAACAACACAGTTGTTACACTCTTGTTGGATAGGGAACTAAACCTTAATTTGCTAAGGAAAGTGCCAAATTACAATGTCAGATTGACCAGAAAGTGCACAAAAAAGGAGAACTCATACCATACCTGACTCCAGACATGCTTGCCATATTTTTCATGCTACTTTCTGAAGTCCTCTTCAGCAAGAGATTTCCATTTGGATGGTTGAAGACTGATCTCAGTGAAATTAAGGACTGATTTTTGAAGGGCACAGAACCAGAAGGACTCCTATAATGATGGTGCTGAACACATATCCAGCGATATCTCCACCCTAGGAAAACGGCATCACTTTCAAATGCAGTTCATTGACATAGCTCGTTAAAGGGAGCTTCTGCAGAACAGGGGTGGACAACTTATGACCTTTCAGATGCTTTAGCCTGTAACTCCCATTATCCCTCACCATTGCCTATCTGTGCTGTACAGGAATGTACAACCATTTAACTTCGTTAATCAAGCTTCAGTAGTTGGAATTTGCTGTAGAACATAAAAGTTGTTAAGTGCCTACCACCTGTTCGCCACTGGACAGGCAAAGGAACAGGAGGTTTTGCCCAAAAACAGGTTCATAAACTATGCAAGACAAGAGATCAGATGAAGGGAGATGCATAGAGAAAAATTGAGGTTATGATTCACTTGGATTATATGGCCACTGAAGCATGTTAGAATCATAAACTATTCTGTACACTAAGGGTCCTACAAACAGGCATAGATGTAAAACTTTGAAAAAGCCAGCTCAGTGGCAGAGAGTGTGCTCTCCAAGTTCCTGGCATATTTAGTTAAACAATCTCAGGCAGCAAGGCCAAGAAGGGCCTCTGCCAGTCTGAGACCTTGCAGCTGTACTACTGGTCAGGGCTCGATGGACGAACGGACCACCTCACTCTAAGACTGCTTCCTGCCATCAACTCTCCCTCTTGCATTGTAATACTAAATTTACTTTAAAGCACCCTCCCAAAGCATCTGCAGGCTCTTTTATCTCAGTTCACAACTCACTATGCAATTCCTTACTCTTGCAAAAGTCTGGCATGCGCTTTCTAGATCTGAATTAGGCTGTTACTTACCCATTAATCTCTGAAAATTTCCAGCACAGAGTGCATTCGTTCCTCCAGAGACTCTGAAATGTAACTTCCAGTTCATTTCCCTCCAACTGTGTAGTCCTGTACAAAAATAAAAACACAAAACAGAAGAAAAATTAAAAGAAGTTTCCTAGTTTTGCTTCTGCCTTTCTCTTTATTGCCCCTGACAAGTGAAAGATTCTGCCAGCACAGAAGGGGGAGAAGCTGGAATCATGCTGCCTCTCTCCCCTTCCCCTTTGGCATGCTATACCATTTGAAGGCTGAGCTTAGGGCAAAGCACCACTCTGTTTGTTTTCTGTAATTTTGAGCCAGGAAGCACAGCTGAAAAGCTCTTTACCATAATGCTCCTAATAAAAGAGCGTACTTCAGTTCATGTTAGATATTGCCTTTGGTTTTCCCTCTACAGCAGCTAAGCCTCTGGAAAGCAGGCACAGAAGTGAAAAGCAAGAACAGGTGTCATTACTATACAACAAAACAGCATTTTGTACAGCACAGCTCTGAACTGGCAGTAGCTTTGTTGTTTGCAACTGCAGGTGTGGCGAGGCAAATGTTTTCTGCAATGTTTGGAATTCATAGTGGCTTTGTATGGTGTATAATTTGGTCTATCACTGCCATAATTGCCAGAGAAATGGGCTTTCTATTTCATTCAATAGTCAATTCTTTCAAAAAGACACTTTCTCCCTCATAAGACCTTACCACTTTCACTCCAGTTGCCATAATTCTAGAGGCATCCATATCTGCATCCATCATATTCTTTATTTTGAATCGTGATTAACTGCAGGATCCTCTATTCTCTAGCATATGCCAAATTTAACTGAGTAAAGTTTAGTTTACAGCCATGGAACAATCAGTTCACATTTCTGGATTTAGGAAGGAAGCAGAATATGTGAGCTTAGTGGTTGCCATGTGCCACTGAGATTTTGGAAATTACAGAACTTGCAGCCAGTTGGGGTCAGAAGGCCATTCATTCCAACCCTCTGCCATGATGTGGTCATCTATCCACCAACTTTGTGGAGATCTCTCTACACTGCAGCATGCTATACTGCAATCACTGAACAAGCACGTCATTTAAAATTATATTAGAAAATGCTTTTTTCCACAGCATAAAATATTCTATTCATAATCTCATTCTGGAAACCTGTTCAGCTTAACAGGTTTAGCAATGGCTGAATACTAAGATCTCTCACACATCCAAAAGTGTCATCAGCACTGTCCACTCTTGCACCCCTGATAACCTGTAAGGCAATTTAGTAACAGAACACACTTCCCCTCTTCTCACCCTAAAAGTACAGTTCAGCACATGTAGGTCAATGACTGTAAAAGGCAGATTTTTCCATTCTCAGTTAGTGGAAACTGGCAGCTGAAATCACTCTTATAGATGACCCTTGATGAACCCACACACACACACTTGCTGCCATTCAGCATTAGCTCCCAAGTGCAATCCTTTTCAGAATGTCAGTGCTTAGGGTACATCAGCAAAATTCTTAGCAGAGGTACCAAAGTATCAGACTAACATTGACAAACTTGGAGAATATACTGTGGCTACTACAATTACTATATTAGAAGATAACATGTGTGTAAATGATCTCAGATACTTTAAAGGAAAATATTTTAAGAGATGTTATATCTTACACATCCATGAGTGTGGCATTTCACTTTAAAAGTGCAAAATAAACAATAAAAATCAACAATGTAATAAAACGGTAATGGTAAAACAGACACAAATACAACAATTTAAAAGCAAGGAGTCAGCACTGAAATTCCTCGGCCTTGGTCAAATGCCTGCCAAAATATCTTAAGCAAGTAATAGTGGTATTGACGAGTTTCTCATGTTTATTTGCTGCTGCTGTTTACTGTGATAGTCTCCTCCAGCCCTTCAACATACAAGCAGGAGAATATTGCATTCCTCAGTAATCATCACTTTTATCTTTTATACTAGAGATATTCTAAAACACTGAAAAACAACTGAGTTCAAATAATACAGAAAATATTAGATATACAAATAACTAAAAAAGCACACACACAAAAGCATCTTCAAATAAAATCTGGAATCTGTCCATTTCAGCAACTTGCAAGGATCTTTTTAAATGCTCTGACACCTTAACTTTAAAAAATGAAGCATTTAATAACTATTGTCTTTGCAGCTATGAAAAGATTCTTGATGCATTCTACATTTAACAACAACAGTTAATTGTAAATAACATTGCATTGTCATAACACTCAGATCATTCCAACATAAATCCTGTTATCCAGCTGACATCAGACTAAGTCAATACAAAACACTTCATTCCCAAGTTCGTGAACCAGTGGGATTTCCCTCTAGGGCTGTATAGAGGCTATCATTTCCAAATAGGGTTCTTGCTATAAATTCTGATTGGTTGAAAGATATCACCTATACAGTAATTTGTAGTCCATCTTCCTCAAATTTTAAGATAAGGTAAAAGATAGAAGAGATTAAGGCCTCCTGTTTGTAATAGAGAGGGGGAATATGTGGCCCTCCAAACATTATCGGGCTGCAACTTTCATGTGCAAACATCTTTTCCAATTGTTTGTATTGTCTCCTAAGAGATTCTTAGCAGGCGTGGGCAACATGCAGCCCTCCACAAGTTTTGGCCTACTACTTCCATCAGCCATAGTCAGCATAGCCAATACTAAGGGATGATAGAGGCTGGAAGCGAAAACATCTGGAGTGCTGCAAGGTACCACAGCTGCAGGGTTTCAAGCATATAGATTGAGAGTCCATGGCTGGCCCCAAGTCACTGTGACTTGAACTTAGATCTTCTCAGTCCCAGACCAGAACTCTAACCATTATGCCACACTGGTAGATAGTGATGTTCACCAGTCCTAGATAGCCTTATGTAACAATAGTAATCATTATTATCATCCATGGAGGCTGGTACCTCGAATGTCCGTGGGGCCGTAGAGCTAGTGTGGTGTAGTGGCTAATACAGTGGGACTCAGGCAACCTGGGTTCTAGTCCCTGCTCAGCCAGGGAGCCAACTGGGTGACTCTGGGCCAGTCACAGACTCTTTGCCCAGCGTACCTCAGGGGGTTGATGTTGTGGTGAGAAGAATGAGAGCAGCAGGAGGAGAATGATGCCACCCACTTTGCGTTCATAAGATAAAGCAGGATATAAATTTAATAAAAACCTCAGGTTTCGAGATGCCTTATAAGAAGCTATCCATGGTGCTGAACTCTATGCTCACAATGGGCACAGCAACGTGGAAAGTTCCATGAAAGTTGACTGAAACCCGGGTTAGATGCACAGCCCCACTCGTTTCATTATCATAATCATAAATAACAATGACGCGTTGCCATTTATTTATTAGAAGTGCCCTTGCTTGTTGACCCCGCGACGTGCGAGGTCGGTGAATGGCATGAAGCCTCTTCCCGCGGCCCACCCGCTGCTGGCGTTCCGCGGGGCAGCTCCGCCACTACGAGAGGCGGCGACCAGCGGCGATAGGGGGCGCCCGAGAAAAGGACGAAGTCCTCGAGCACTCACGCCTCACATCCGGAGCTCCGACCTTTCCGAGAGGTTTAGGCCGCCGTTGCCACGGCGAATGGAGAGTCCGCTCCTCGCACCTCTTGCGCCCCCTCCTCCCCCTCCCCCGCGGGGGCGGAATCGCGCAGTGATGCTGCACTACGCGGGGTCATACGGTACCCGGCATACCCTGCGCCAAAGGTACCGGAAGTGAGTGTGCATTTCCGGCGGCAGGGCGGCCTGGCCTCCGGCTTCTGCTGCTCCTGCAGGCGGCCGCGCGTTCTTTCCCGCTGTTCCCGCACCTGGCCTGGCCATGAAGGACGTACCGGGCTTCCTGCAGCAGAGCCAAAACTCGGGGCCCGGCCAGGCCGCCGTGTGGCATCGCCTGGAAGAGCTGTACAACAAAAAGTGAGTGAAGGATGTGGAGGGTTGGCGAGCGGCGCCCGAGAGGCGAAAGGATGAGTGCGTGATGGTGTGTTGGGGCCCAGCTGTGCTTTGTGTTTTCCCTGGCCGGGTGGGTGCCTTGTACAAGGAGAAGGTAACTAGGATGCTCAGTGGTTGAAGGCTGCTCCCTCCCTCCCTGTTCCACGCGGCAGCCTGCTTATCTGTGGGGTATGTAGCATTTGGGTCCTGCTGCTCTTTTTCTTTCCTTTCTTTCCCTAGAGCAAGTCTTGTTCTCTCAGCTGGCACATACTCTTACACGGTTATAGGGTAATATGCCCCGCAACAAATTGGTGAACTGTACCTCACTCTGGAAATACATAAGTGCCCTTAATATCTACCCCATTTCCTTGGAAAGCAAAGTGTTTGGCTCTAGGTGGCGTCAACAAAAGCTTTGAAGTGCCTGTGAGTCTCTAGTAAAGTTCTGCACTGGCATGACTGCTAAAACTTTGTGCCTAGTAACATGCATTTTTCAATAGCATTGGGATGCACTCCAAACTCATAACTATCAAAGATAATATCTCACCCCCTTTTTCCACAGTAACAGCAAAATTTCACCGTTTTCAGCTTTGTTTATAATATTAAGTAGAACATCAGTATGTAGTAATGACTTAAAAGTAACTCTGATTTTAGACACAAAGGAGTTGCTAATTTCATGTTTACTGAAAAGTAAAAGGGTATTGGCAGTCTTCAAGAGCCTATGTAAACTATTGTGAAGAATGTTAATGAGCATGTGAAGCCAGTCTATAATGAGTATGCCGGTTGACCCAAGCCCAATATTGTCTGCTCTGACTGGCAGCAGCCCTTCAGGATTTCAGTTAAAGCCCTTCCTCAGCCTGCCACCTGGGACTCTTAAAATGTTCCACTTACACTGTGAAATATGTTTGGTAAAGTAATTTGCCACCCCCACCCCTCATTTTAATGGTCTGTTCTGATAGATCTGCTGTTAGTCTTACTCAAATTAGGCTTTTAACTGCTGATGCATATGTTTGGATTAACTCTGAAATTTATATAGATTCTTTGTCAGATACGGAATTGTATTCAGATACAGAGTTGGATCTTTCAAACTGGGTTTTCTTATCTGTGTATTTTTTCACTACTGGTTCTTGTTATTTCATTTGCTTGTGCATGTTTTACAGACTCTGGCACCAGCTGACTCTTCAGGTTCTGGACTTTGTACAAGACCCATGTTTTGCCCAAGGGGATGGACTCATCAAGGTAAACTTACACTATATTTATGAGATGTCATAAGACTTACTATGGTGCTGTATTTTGAATATTCTGATTTTCAAGTTTTCTTGGAATTGTCATAAGTAAAAACCGGGCAAAAAGGCAAGGCACTCCTCAGTGCTGAAAAAGAAAAAAATATTTGTGCTAATGTTTTGTGAGTGCAACCATTGTTTGTGTTAAAGCATCTTAGGTGGCAGCTCTGTCTAATGTATCACTTCCCAGGATTTTATGCTTTAATTTGTTTAATTGGGTGCAAGTTCTGTTCATTTCTGTAACTTGTTCCTGTGAGGCATCACAGTTGTGTCTTAATTTAATGGCTAGAAGTTGTTTTTTGTAAATATAATGCTAGCACCTATGTTGATATAAAATGACATGTGATATCATTGCAACAAGGTAATCTGTTAGATCATAGTTTAGTGTTTTGTAGTAGGTCTATGGAGAAGGAAGAATAAGTTCAACAGAAAGCAACAAAAACAGTCAGAGGTGTAAAAAGCAGTTCCTTTGAAGAAAGGAACTGGAATAGGTTTAGCTTGGAAAATAGAAATTGAAGGAGGGATCTGATGGTGCCCTTCAAATATTTGAAGAATTGTCATATAGAAAAGATCAAAGTCTTATTTTCTGCTCCTGTAGAGTGCAGAACTGAATTTAATGTCATTAAATTACAAAGAGATAGATTGACTAGGGTAGGCCACTCCAATATTGAGGTCTTCAAGCAAAGGTTGGGCAGCTATCTGGTGAAGATGCTGTAACCTTGAATTTCTTGCAAGCAAGGGTATGGGCTGGATGGTTCACTGCTATAATCCCCCTAGATCTCCTTGGGTTGTGTCCCCACTATTGATGGAAGACTCATTGTTCCAGCAGAGTCTTCTGTAAGCAGAAATGTGACTTTCACAAATTCCTTCTTCCACACTATTCCAGAGCGTCCACCGCCCTCTGGAACTGATTGTGGGAAGCTGCAGAAAGAAGGGGAAATCAACAAGACTAACCTTTTCAACTTTTTGCTTCTAGAAGCGTCTGTTGACTCCAACGATCTTTTAACAGAAGGGATGCAAGTGTTTACATAATTGTATGAGAATGCATGCACAAAGATTTCAGAGTTGAGAGCTACTAAATAGTGCATTGATTTAATGTCTGAAATCTGTAAAGAATACCTTTCAACTTGAACTTTGCAGGTTATTTGGCATTGGTGGTTATTTAGCTTTCCTATAATTTCTTTGAAAAATGCAACTATATTTTTAATCATGAAAAGGATATGAATTGGTGGCTATAACAGGACTACTTGCAAAAGTGAGTTAGAGTTTCTGGCAGACATACATTTCCTAAAATACCTTACAACTATGAGAGGGCACATTTTTAGAACAATGACACAGCTCATTTTTACAACAGTTTATCAGTATTGACAGTATTACAATGAACATTGAATATTGATGGGGGACTTTATTAACCAAGGTCACACTAGGTTAGGGCATACTTTCATGCACCCAGTCAGCAGAACCAAATTAGTCTTCTCCTGTAAAAATGTGCTTCATTTTCTCAAATGTCTGTTTGATATTGTATCTGCTGCAGTGTTGGGTTCACTGTGTTTTATATGCTGGTTAAGAACTCTTACCTGGAGGGAAGGCTCCTAGATAGTAATAGTGATAGAGTCAAAATATGTCTTGCTAAAATCAGTTGTTTTTTCTTTGATTCACAGCTGTATGAGAACTTTATCAGTGAATTTGAACACAGGTAAAGCTTTTAAATTATGTTTTTTTATTTAAAAATCCTTAAGGTTTAAAATATTTATATAAGTTCAGCTGTTCAAAATTTATCCTCTTTATTCCAGGGTGAACCCTTTGTCCCTTGTAGAAATCATTCTTCATGTAGTGCGGCAGATGACAGGTAAACAGCTTATTTTCTCTACTGATAATATTTTCAGGGCAAACTGATTAAGGATGTTACCTTAAGGCCAGCAACAAGAATCCCTTTGGAAGAGATCCAAATAATTCTTTGAATAACTATTTTTCAAAGAGGCATTTGCAAACTCCCTCATCCTCTGTAACAGCTCTTAATTTCCAGGATGGACGGGGATCTAAAGCTGCAGTCCAACAAGCAACCTGTTTGCATCCTTAGGATGAATAACACAAACTCATCCATAACACTGGACAAGCAGGTGCTTCTATTGCATTGCCAGAATCAATCCTCACTGTGGTCTAAGTTGAAGTGAATCTGAGCAGCATGATTGGGAATAAGCTTGCACACTTACTCCCCTCGGTGTAAAGAACTGTTGAAATGTCAAGAGAGAATGCCATGCTTCTTTGAACATCTGATCTCTCTTTATTTTGGGGAACATTAAACTAGAAAATTCTTGAAACCAGACTGCTGAGTAAGTGAATCCATTTATTCACTTTTCTTCAGAATGGAAGTAGAGCATGTGCCAGAGGGCCCTGCCTCCTGTTCCATTCCCCAGGAACATTCCCACAGGGAAAATAACATCAAAATAAGACCTTGGTTCTAAGACTTTAAAAAAAACTGGATATGACAAGATGTTCTGTGAAACTTAATATAATTGCTTGTTTACGCCTCTTTAGATCCTAATGTGGCCCTTACATTTCTGGAAAAGACCCGAGAAAAGGTACGTGTGGTAAATCAGTCAAAAAACTATGCTTCAGTCTCAGGAAGATAATCATCAAAGAGAAGTATCAAATTAAATTTGGATTACATTAAACAAACACTTCCTGTGCTGTAATTGACAACTGCTGGTTTGCTATTTTTATTTTACAAAAATAGTTGTTTTATGATGCATACTTTTTATTGCGGCTGCAGGTGAAAAGCAGTGATGAAGCTGTGATTCTATGTAAAACAGCCATTGGGGCTCTGAAATTAAACATTGGTGACTTGCAGGTCACAAAGGTGAGAAACTATTCACACTTCTGTGTCAATATTCATGCAGTTCTGTCTATGTTTTATCAGATAGTTTCTGACTTTTCTTGTGCAACTGTTTTAGTACTTTCCTGTCCTCTACTGTATGTGTGTATTGGTTCTGAATTTGGCAGGCAGGACTAAAGTCCATTTGATACATTCGCAAAAATGTTTCTGTTTCTGGGAATTCCACACAACGTAACAGA